ACCACCGGTCGCCTCGCGCTGCTTTGGAGGGACTTTCCACTTCGTACCTCGGTCACCTTTACGCCGACGCCCCCGCGGGCTTAGTCCCTGCTGCGTCGAAAGTGGGGCATGAAGGCCGCGCGGTGAGAGCGGCGGATCCATCCGAGCTGGAAGCTCGTGCTGCCACTGCCCAGGCCCGCCAAGCGCGCCTCCGCCTGATGTCGAGTCTGGCGGATCGAGGAAAAAGTCCGTGACGGCGCCCAGCTCGATTGCCGACTTCATGAGGCCGCCAAAGACGGGGCGCGGCAGCTGTGTGAGGTAGAGCTGAATCAGCGCGAGCACCTGGTGAGGCGGCGTGTCCTCGGGCAGAGCTGCGGTGCTGCTGGTCTGCTTTTCCAGGGCATCCCTCAAGCCCACGACGGTGGTCAGGAACTCTGTCATTTCCTTGGGATTGTCTTCAAACCCATCCACAAAGGACACTGCGTTCGTCGATGCCAGGAAGAGCTTTAGCCAGTACGGCGCCGTCATGCCATCCTTGGAGATCTGGGCGTTGACGTGGTTGACGAGCAGCTCCAGGATGAACGGGATTTTCGAGTTTTCGCGCTTGAGCACCTTGGCCAGATCGACGCCAAACGTGCGGTGCTTCTTTTCCGGTCGTGTAAACTTGTCGCCAGAGTGTGTGCGGCGAATCGAGTCCTCCGTGCGCAGACGCGGACGCGGCGAGTCCTCCGATCCTGATGATTTTTCTCGGGGGCCTGCGCAATACAAGAGGGGGGTTGTGAGTTGTGAGTTTTGTTTGACCAAGGCCAGCAGCAAACAACAATGCAGAAGGGAGATGGAGATGATTCATAACCATCCACTGTGTGGCAAAAGGGGGAAGAGATGAACGCGGCACGAATGGTCTTTGCGTGGTGATGCCGAGTCGGGCTTGCAGTGAGTCATGTCATTGTGGTTGTGGTTGTGGTTGTTGGCTGTTGGTTGTGGGGACTGTGATGGAACACTGGGCCAAAAATCAGACCATTGTTCGTTCTTTGGTCGCTCTCTCTGACCACCCAGACGCCCCCGGCCCTCGTCCATGACACCCCCCCCCCGCGCCTGCTCCCACCATGAAACTTCATCAAGAGCACTCAGCAGAGGGTCTGCATGGCAAAGTGATGAATGAGCAAAGTCCCAACTGCAATTCTTTTTTTTTTTATTCTTTTTTTTTTTTTTTTGGTTTGCTGCACTGTGCGGCTTCCTTTTGTTATCTTGCACTGATGCTGCTGCCACCAAGCCATAGAGAGAGCGTGTGTGGTTGACTTGTCTCGTTTCGCACAACACTGTCCTTCTCACCCTTCTCGCTGTCTCTCTTTTTCTCTCTTTCTCTCTCGCTTTTCTTTCTCCCAAATCATCATTCAAACCACAATTCTCAAGTTTTTTTTTTTTTTTTTTTTTTGATTTTGTTTGATTTTGTTTGATTTTGTTTGGTTTTGATTTTTGATTTTTGATTTTTTTTTTTAATTTCTGTTTGGTGGACAACGTGAGGTGGGACGCTCGCTTGAGATGCGCGGGGTGAGTGTACTGATAAGCAAGAGCGATTTGGGCAGAGGGGGGGAGGAGGGTTGCTGGAAAATTGGAGTGGTGCAAGTGAGAGAGAGAGAGAGAGAGAAGCAGAACATACTCGACAGCGGAGAGTGGACGTTGGAGACACTGCGGAAGAGCGGCGAGCCAGAGCCAGTGTTGCCAGACGCACCCGCTGAGGACGACGATGCTGCACTGCCGGGAAGCGACGACGAGCCGGAGGACGGCGACGGGCCAGCGACACTGCCGGGACTGGACGCGTTGTGGGTGGCCAGCATTGGCAGCGAGTTGCCGCTGGTTGTCAGGATCGACCGGCCGCCCGGGCCAGAGCCAATGTTGCTGGTGCCGACGGGACTGTCGCCGCCAGAGCTGGGCGAGGTATACGCGCCGACGTCGTCCAGGGAGACGCGAACGCCCGTCAAGGTCATGGAAGACGTCCGCTTCCCTTTCGTCACCAGCGCCTGGCTCGCAGGACCGCTCGGTGGCTGACCGTCCATTCGTTGCGTGTGTGAATGTGGGTGTGTGTGCGTGTGTGTGTGTGTTGGAGGAGGTGGAAGGGGGGTTTCGCTCGGCTTGTTCAGATTCGCAGCAACAAAATGGAAAAAAACTGGACTGGGAACCTTGGCAAATCGCAAAATGTCAAAGCGATTGCACTGGCGATCGGATCAGTCAAAGGTGAATCATACGTGAACATGGACGCGGGGAAAAAAGAAGGGAGACAAGCCAACATGAAGGCGAAGCAAGAACAAGCAGCAACCGGCGATTTACATCCTAATGAGAGTGCGCTTTTTAGCATCGGTGTTGCCAAGCCCTAAGCGTGTTCGCCCAAGCGCAGTCGACCCATTCAGCAGGTAGCCGCCATGGACGTGAGGGAGTGTGCGGGCATGGGACTCTTCTCCGACGAGCCTGGATACACAGCGGAAAAGAGCGAGGAGCGTTTGGGGTTTTGCGGCAGCAGCAGCGGTCACCAAACGCACGCGCTCGCTGCTTGTTTGGTTGATTGAAACAATGGGGCCGGCTGTTGATGCCGACGAGTTGCTCCGGTCGTCACGGGGATGCTTGTGGTTGTTTGCAAATATCCTGGCAGATTATTCATTCAAAAATATACCGCATGCGAGGCGTGCAACAGGAACGTGTAGCACGTTGTCAGGGGACGGGGGTGTGGACACGTTTCTAGGTGCCAAACGCCTTCCCTCGAATGGTCCCACATGGTCCTAAACCGCCCCATCGGCCCATCCACTGCAGCTCAGATGGTGGTAAATATCGTCTGCTTGATGGTAGAGCTTGGGTTGTGCCGGTTCAGTGCTCCAAGCGAGCTGCATTTCGCGGTCAATTCTGGGGTTGGCGTTCGGTCTGGTTGAGGCCTGTGGAATCGATCCATCCGTTGAGTTTTGTAATTAAATAAAAGGCCAATGATGTGTACGTAACATTTATCAGGAAGGCGTTCAGATTGGCTTGATGATGTGCAGAACAAAAGGTATAGGCAAATACAACTGCTGGCACCGTAGCTGTTTAAACTGTAAATGCAAGCTGCGCAGCAAGCATGCTTTTACCTCAGCAAGCTTCTATGCTACAAAACCACATAAATACATCGAAATTATTCGTTGTAAACCGCCGTTTGTCACTTGCTGGGGACTTGTCGTTCAGAATTTGAGCAACTTTTGTTTCTGTATTTTGGAGATGACGATCTTACCCTGGAAGCACTATAGTAGCTACTAAAGCATATTGAATGACTGCAAAAGTATCGTCCACCAATTGAATAGAGTGAGCAATCCGGGGAAGGCCAATGAGGGACGATCTCAGCTCGTCCCGAATCACTCCTCGTTTCAGATTGTTTTGTTCATTTGCTTCACTTTCTTTCAGCTGCACCAAATGGCAAACCGTGCAAGTGAGTCAAATGAGCCCCCACACAAATCGCGCTTATTCTGTGCCATATACTGTGGGTTGACATGCCGTTGATGGAGAATGGCTCGTGTGCCAGTGCAACGAGTTTCCCGCCTTTTTTTCTTTGTCTTCGTTTCGTCTCCAACTTCTGTCCATGCTCTCTCTCGCTCGCACTGATCCAGTGACTTTGCAGTGTCATACCAGTGGACTTGACGCACATCAAGCCATACACTTTTTGAAGGGGGCGTCGCTGCAACATCCAGACTTGAAACCGAGACTTGAAACGGGTGGTGTTTTTTGTCTTCGTTTCGTTTTCGTCTCGCTCCTTCGTTTCCTCTCGCCTCTCGCCCTCTCGCTTCGCCCTTTCGTTGATACCCGAGACAACACACTCTCGCCAACCATGGGCATGCGCGGGCTTAGATACGCCTGCGACCTCACGTGTGTTACTCAACGGTTGGCTTCCTTTTTTTGGCAGCGGAAGCTCGTCGTCGCCTCGCGCCGCTCGATCAACCCACCCCATGGCCCACGCTGCGAGACTGGATTCGCCAGCGCAAGATGACATCCAGAACGACCTGGATCGACATCCTGAGAGAGGCGGGCGTGTGCTACTGGCCGTGGCATCTGCAGTACCTCCGGCCAAACAGCACCAAGACACCTTCTATTGTTCCATGCACGTCGAGCTTCGAGCTCTACAAGGGTTTGGACACGCTGTACAAGCTGTCTCTGCAAGGTCCTCTGCCAGATGTGCCGCACGTCATCGATGACTCAGTTGCCCGCCAGCTGTTGCTTCGGATCGAGCCCATCCTCGAGGATTACGCGCAAATCGTGGAGAGCCTGCTCACTGATCATCACGGCGGCTGGAATTTCTTAGTGACCGGATCCGACGAGGAGCTGGTCGACCTCAACGCCCAGCTCGCGAAAGTTGCGTCGGAGGTCTCCACCGAGACTTGCACGGCTGTTCAAGCCGTCGCTTACCTCATGCCCACCAAGTTCGAGTTCACTCTATTGAGACTCGCTCTCAACATGGGCGATGACACGCCTGCCACTGTGATGGCGAGTGGTGGATTGGGCATCCGGTCTGGCAACGGCCTTGGCACCTTGGGTGTGATTGCGGAAGGTCTCGGTATCACCGCCGCACATGTCATTGAGCGACCCCCGCCGGACCTTCCGCACCGAGCGTACGCGACCCAACTGTGGCGGAATGCCCCTCCTCAAACCCGCCGCCTTTGGAAAGAGCTGTCCGGCTTCTACCACGACCCCGCCACGCCCGTGTGTTTTGGTCATTGCGTTTATCTCGATCACCTGCGCGACATTGCAATCGTCGTCATGTCGGACCGCCGCCCCATTGCTACCAATGCCGTTTGTGGGCTTGACAGACTTCTGTGGCCCAATCCCTCCAACCTTGTCAAGCTCAGGGAGGACCTGGCCCTGACCCAAAGCGGTGCGGCACCTCCGTTTTCGCTTGTCAAGTTCGGCATTCGAACCGGCCGCACGCGCGGAACGCTCAGCTGTGTGACCGACGAGCTTTTGGCTGTCGAAGAGGAGGCGAACGGTGCAGTGGCTGATTGCGGCGACTCTGGTAGCTGCTGGACGATCGAACGGCCTTTGCGCTGGCGCGGAGCCGTGATTGGCTTCACGTCGCAACGCTGCCAATCGGACCCTCGGTGTTTCCTGGCTCCCCAGCTACCGCGTCAGTTTTGCTTGCTGACTCCTGTGTGGCATGTGTTGGAAGTCCTCGAGAACTATCGCTCTACTTTTTAGCAGCAGCCGGCAATCAATTCACGCATCCAAACCAAGTCGAGCTTCCAAGCACTGCCGTGGATTGCCATTTCGCTGCGATCGCTTGAGTTTTTGTACAATCAATTGTGTTTTGTTCCTCTGAAGCCTGATACTGACTATTTCCAACATTAAATCCTCTTGCTGTTTCGCTTTTTTGAAACCGTCGACAAGTTGTTTATTCAGTGTGTTGAAGACAGAAAAGCACACTCTACTCTCGGTGGACTCGCTCAAAGTCCAAAACACCATTGCCAATTTAATTTTGAGCGACAACCGAGGTGTTCTGAGCCAAGTGAACGGTTTCTTCTTTTGGCTCTCGTTTCATTCATTTCTTGTTCTTTTTGTATGGGTTTTGCATTGAGTTTTTGGCTCTTTGCCATGTGTGGAAATTGCATTGATTGCTTTTCGTCGTCCATTTCGAGTCGCAGGGCTTTTTTTTGGAGAGTTCGTTGCTTTATGAAGTGATATCGTCCGTTGGGCAAGTGCAGTGAGCGGGTTGTGGCGAGTGCTCAAGGATTGATGGCATTGCTATGAAAGCACGTTGAACGATCAAAACCGCCCCAACAAAAAAAAAAAAAAAAAAAAAAAACCAATGGAAATGGATTGACTTACCTCCGACAATGCAATGCAGAAAGCAGCTCCGAAAACGCGAATGAAAGAGGGTTGAGCAAGTACAGGATGGGAGGCAAATGGAGAGGCTGTGAAGCAAGCGTTTGTCATGAAGAGTCAGAGTGAGAGAGCGGACGGACACGAGGGAACAAAAAAAAAAAAATGTCAAAAAAGTCAGCTGCCGCTCTCGCCCGATATCGCCCTATCTGCCGCATCATTTGTGGCTCACACTCTCACACTCACACTCACACTCGTACACTCTCACTCTTGCAGTTTGACTCTGAACAAGAAAGGGGAAGACGCGGTAGAAACGCGATATTGGGATTGACTGCGAAAACGCATTGGTTGGATGCAAACGCCGATCATCTTCTATCATCAGCATGCTCTATCATCAGCATGATTGTCATCATAGAGAAAGAGACAGAACGAGAGCGGAAGGATGGCAATCTTCATCATGGTTATCATTCTCATCCCAGCCATTCTCAAACTCTGAGATACATTGCCCATCCACACTCACTCACTCACTTTCCATCCCAAAACATATTGCACACCTCGCTCACTTTGACTTGCTTGATTGGCTCTGTTGTTCACCGCTTTTTTAGTTTCTAAACTACCCCCCACCATGGCACCGCGAACGGAGCAGGCTGCTGTCACCGCTGCAGGTGGCGATGACGGTGCCATCATCAACAAGCCAAAGTACAACAAAAAGTACGCTGTCGGCCACAAGGAGGACGCCAACGCAGGCCCCCTCTTCATCCACCTCTACGGCAAGCGCGTCAATGTCACCAACTGGCTCAGCAAGCATCCCGGTGGCCGCAAGGTCCTCCACGTCTTCCAAGACCGCGATGCCACCGAGCAGTTTGAGGCCATGCACTCCAAGGAGGCTCGCAAGCAGCTTGATGTGAGGATTTTTTTTAGAGAGAGCGAGAGAGCGAAAGAGAGCGAAAGAGAGAGAGAGAGAGCGCGATCAGAAGCATGTTTCCATTCTTGATCTCGTTTCTCCAGATTCTCACTTACTTTGGATGAACAATGCTTCTTAGGGCTTTTTGAACAAGTCCGAGCCAGTCCCCGAGGGCCAGTCCGGCGACACCAAGTTCTTTGAAAACCCCGTTCGCAAGGACATGGTTGAGCTCCGCCAAAAGCTCGAAAAGCAGGGTCTCTTCAAGCCCAACATTCTTTTTGAGGTTACAAAGGTATGCCTCGCCCCGCTTATTTTGATTTGATTTGATTTGATTTTGATTGTGTTTTCTCATTCTATCTTTGCTTCGCGTTCTTCATTTTCGCTTCCACCCCCCCTCCTCCACTTCCAGCTCCTCTACGTATTTGGCTCCATTCTCGGTGGCCAGTACATCATGTACGCCTTCCCGGAGCACCTGTACCTTGGCATGCTCTTGGTGATTCTTGGCTGGCACCAGGCCGGCTGGGTTGGCCACGACTACTCGCACCACTCGGTGTTTGCGTCGCCCGTGCTGAACGATCAGGTCTCGACCATTGTCGGCGCCCTCCAGGGCTACAACCTCATGTGGTGGAAGGCTCGCCACAACACCCATCACGTTGTGACCAACGAGGTCGGCAACGATCCCGACATCAAGACCTCGCCCTTGTTCCACTTCATCCAGCAATACCCCGACCTTAACAAGAAGCTCAAGAGCATTCAGCGCTACCAGCACATTTACTACGTGCCCGCGATGGCCATCCTCGATCTCTACTGGCGCTTCGAATCGATCGAGTTTATTGCTCGCCGCTTCAAGAAGATGCGCTTTGATGCCCTGCTTCTTGTCGCCCACTACACTGGCCTCGCGTTCGTCTACTCCACAACCGGCTTCTGGCCCATCTACATTTGCATGCTCGTCCGCGGCTGGCTCACCGGCCTCATTGTCTTCTCGTCCCACTACGCCGAGGAGCGCATCGACCCCGACGCTCACATGCCCTTCCTCGAGCAGACCGTCCGCACCTCGCACAACATTTCTGGCAGCTCTCTTTGGCACTTTTTCACTGGCTACATTTCCATGCAGGTACTGTGTTGTTTTCGGGTTGTTTCGGTCGTTGATTGTTGCTGTTGGAGGGAGAGCCCCCTACAACAACAACAACAATAACAACAACAACACCAACAAAAAGAATGCATTTGGCTGACTGCTCGTCTTGATTTTTTGATCATCTCCCTCACGCTTGATCGCAGGCTGAGCACCATCTCTTCCCTACCATGCCCCGCTCCAACCTCCCCTACGTCCAGCCCCTCGTTCGCGAGTTGTGCCTCAAGCACAAGCTTCCGTATGGCGAGGACAACATTATCGAGTGCGTCAGGCATAACATTCGCTCGCTTACACCCAAGAAGATTGAGTAGCGAGAGATGCGCTTTTGGGTTTTTTTGTCGAGTCGCGATGCGTGGTTGGCAACCAACCCCACCTTGATCATCTTGGCGCTCAACAGCAGCCGCATGTTACGAAATGTTTTTTCCTTAGGCTTTGTCTTTTTGCGACAAAAGACCTGCTGCTCGGTCGCATTTTGATGTTGATTTTTTTAAATACACTATTTTTTGTTTTTTTGTTTTTTGTTTTTTGTTTTTTGTTTTGTACCTTCAACAAAACTCTAATGCGCTCTTAGTAACCATCAGATTCAACCAGCTTCATGATGGCCCGAACGACAGCACTGTCGTACACATTGAGCAGCGGTTGCTCAATCTTCCGAGACAGCACTGCATCCAATTGCTGTCGGATGGCAGTGACGAGCGTGGCGACGCGCGCCGGTGCCTTGATCTTAATCCAACCATCCAACAGCAGCTGGTGCTGTTCGTGCTCAATGGCAATGTTGCCGCCAAAGAGAATCAGCGGGTAGGCCGACACAACCGTCGTATCGCGCAGATATGCCTTCGAGGTCGCCATCTTCTCGTTGTACAGGACGAATCGATCGTCCATCTTGAGCAGCGAGAAGGTCGCCGAAGTCGGATGCACAAACACTTGCGTGCCGCCCTTCAGCAACAGCTTGAGCTCGGATGCTTTGGCCTCCTTCACCACCATGCCCTGCTGCACTTGCACAAACTGCCGCTCGGGCGGAACCACACTGGCCACTTGCGGGTAGAGTCCGGCAGCAAGCACAGCCTTGAGCACCTTAATGTTGGTCGAGTTGGCATTCAGAAGCCGGTGCGCCTCGGCCGCCTGTGCGTCCTGCTGCTTGTGGTGGTGCATGATGGCTGCGGGCACAAAGCCGATGGACGCCAAAATGTCCAGGAACTGCTTGCGCAGGTCTGAGATGCCCTGCATCGACTGCATTGAAAGAAAGTTGTCCTCGCAAAATTTGCGACGCGCCCCGGTCTTGGACGCTGCGCCGTCCCCAGCGCAATTATGCCACTCGGCGTACGCCTTGGAGTAGCCCAGCAAGTCGCTCTTGCCAATGGCAAAGCGCTTTTTGACTTCGTCGGCTTGAGCGCGCTTGTCCACCGACGTAATAAAGGGCGAGCGGAAGCCCATGCACGCAGCGACCGTGAGAATCGGGTCGAGGCAGTGGAAGATGGCGCCAAAAATGAGCACTTTGGCAATGCGTGCGTCGACGGGGATGCTCGCAAGGTGCACGCCCAGCGGCGTCAGAGCCTTGGTGTCGCGATGCAGCGCCCCAATGTCCACCAGCGCGTCGATGGCGTGCGTGACAGCCTTCGTGTCCGGAGGGGTGAGTGCTTTTCCGAGGAACTGCACCACGTCCGCAGTGCCCATGGCTTTCACCTGCAGACACAGCTGCTCGAGCGGAACGCGCAGAATCTCGGGTGCCTGGTGATCAGCCATCAGCTCGCTGCGCTTGGAGGTAAACAGACGATAGCAAATTCCCGCTTGGGTGCGACCCGCACGACCTTTGCGCTGGCGAGCGTTTGCCTTGCTAATCCACGTATCTTCAAGGCTCGACATGCCACGCTGGGCGTCATAGCGCGTCTCCTTGACGCGGCCAGTGTCAATGACATGAACAATGCCATCGACGGTGACACTTGTTTCTGCAACGTTGGTCGACACAACAACCTTGCGCGTGGTTGCCCCAGTGGCGTCAAAGACGCGCTTTTGCTCGGGCACCGAAAGCGTCGAGTGCAACGGAAGAACGAGAAGCTGCTGGTTGCCCTTGGTGGCACGCGGCAGCGCGTCAAAAGCATACATGATTGCTTCCACGCATTGCTTGATCTCTTGCATGCCGGAGGCAAAGATGAGCACATCCTCTTTGGCTGGGGTGGTCGTGCAGATGTGCATGACAGTCGCAGCAATCAGGTCGACATTGAGCATGTCCTCCTGGCGGCTGTGGATGGCCATCGAGATGCCGAATGCGGCATCCGGGTCGACGGCCTCTGCTGCGTCTGCTGCTGGAGGTGGTGCCGAGCTGCTGCTGGTGCTGCTGCTAGAACCAAAGTCGCTCGAGGTCGAAGCTTCGAGGCTGCTCGTGCCGTCTTCTTCTCCACGCCGAGGCCGAGATCCCGCCGACTTTGCACCGCCACGACGAATCGTCTCAATGCGGAAAGAGGTGCGCTGCACCACGTCTTCCAGGTGCAGGATTTCGACGGGGTAGGCAAACCCAGGAATGGAAATGACTGGCACGCCCCCAAAGTAGCTCGAAAATGTGTTCGAATCGAGCGTTGCGCTCATGAGCACCAAGCGCAGGTCTCGACGCTTGGCCAAGACCTCACGCAAGGCGATGAGGACAAAGTCGCTTTCGACACCGCGTTCGTGCACTTCGTCAATCACAATGTGCGAAAACGCATTCAGAAGCGGGTCGTCTTGCAAAAACCGCAGCAAAACACCAATTGTGCTGAACAAAAGGCGTGTCGACGCAGAGTACTTGGCTTCCAGTCGCACCGAGTAACCGACGCCCTCGCCAATCTTTTCAGCTCGCTCCACTGCCACACGCTCTGCCACCGACAGTGCAGAGATACGCCTGGGCTGCGTGCACAACAGTCTGAAGGAGAGAGATATAAGAACAGATGGAGGAGACGAGCGAGTTAACAGTAATCCAAACAGTCGAAACAACACAAAAAACCCAAAACCAATCGTTTTCGCCAAAAACATACCTGCACGTCGACCCTTGATTTTGATCAATCAGCGCATCCAAAATGAACTGAGGGACTTGGGTCGTCTGCACATTCATCAAAACACTGAGTGCACAAATTTCGTCGATAAAATGCAAACTCTACGGCTTGTCGTCGCCTGCATACCTTGCCGCAGCCTGTTTCACCACTAATCACCACAACTTGGTTGGCCGCCAGAGCAGACAGGATTTCTTTCACGTAGCTGTGGGACGGCAGCTTGCTTCGCTTGTCAAACACCTTTTTGAAGGCAGGCGTCGCTTTGGTCAGTGCCGCAGACTCTTTCGCATCGGTGCGGAGCGCGTGGAACGGCGAACGTCTGCGCCGCTGTTGCTGCTTGCCATCCTTTCCTGTGCGTGCGGCAGGCGTCGCCGAAGCGGCGTCGGCTGGGGCTGGTTCCGACGAGCTGGCAGAAGAAGAAGCAGCAGCAGCCGCAGCAGCCGCCTCTTGCATGGCTGACGTTGACAGCGGTGGTGGGTTTTGAACCACCTCAACGCCCGACGTTTGGACCCAATCAATCAGCGAGTACAACAGCGGTGCAGGAGCCAGAGAGGCTGCAAACTCAAATGCTGCGCGCTGCAGCACAAGCCGCGTGGTGGAAGTCAAAGCTGGATGCCGGATGACCACAATAGGCGTTTCATTCGGATACAGGCAGGTGGACGAAGGGAACTTGAGTTCGAGTTCGACCAGGTGGGGTTTGAATTCGGGCACTGCGAGGCAAACGCTGATGCAGGAGGCCGTTGGCCGAATCATGGATCGGACGACACTGTCGGTCGAACAGTCCGCCGCGGAACATTCGGCGTGGCTCTTGACGTTTGCAGCCACGACCCCGTAGATGCTTTCTACAGCGGCAATCTCCTCAGCCACCTGCTCAGCGGCCGAATCAATCTCTTCGGCGGAGAAGCGAGCACTTGGTGGACCGGCGGGCACGGTCGCGGAGAAGGCGTCGGCATCCGTCAGACGATCCTCTTTGAGCAGATGGAGCAATCGAAGCAAAGCAGCATCTTCATCATATCCGCAAGCTTCAAGGGCCATGGATGCGTGCTGCTGGCCAAAACCGACCTCGCGAAGGCGTTGAATCATGTACGACTGCGCCAGCGACGTTGTGTTGGCGTGGAAGGAGGCTGTCAATTGCTTGCTGTCCGGTCGGAACTGCACAGGCAAGTCTTGTTCAGGAACGTGCAGGCACAACCAGGACAGGGCTGCCGACTTGAGTGCCGCTGCCTCCTGGGCCGCGGCAGTCGCTTTTGGCTGTGCGCCGAGTGCTTCATCAATATGGCGAGCATGAAATCCGAGCGCGAGCAGATCTCGGTAAACTGCGGTGGACGTTTTCTGCAAGTATGCCAACGATACTAACAAAAAAAACCAAAAAAAAAGAAAAAAAAAGAAAAAAAAAGTAAAACAAAAGAAAAAAAAAAAAGCCGAAAAAACCAAAAAAGGCTGCCAGGATTACATTGCTGGTGGAGGTAGAAGGGCTAGGCTCATCAGCATCCTCAGCTTCACTTGAAGCAGCCGCCTGCTGCTTGGCGGTTTCTTGCTGCGCTTCTTTGACAAGCGCCTCGATGACTGTGCGCTGTGCTTCGCTCAGGTGAATGACGGCCAGTTGCGCGTCCTCCTCTCGTTGCTTGAGCTCGGCCTGCCGCTGCTCCGAGGCAGCTTGCTTTTGCTGTGCACGCTCCACGTCGGCTTTGGTGACTGGCTGGAACGGGTCCCCGCCAGCCGCTGGCCAGATGCCCTCCGTGTCATTCTTTTTGAGCACGTCCAACGCGGCCCAATAATCCCGAAAGTCAGGCGGCAGGATGTGGGATAGATTGAGGTGTGAATTCAGGCGATGCATGGCGCAGACGGCGGCCCTGAGCAACAAAACGCAGGCGCGCGGGGAGGGGTTTGAGTCGATGTGAGTCGGTGTGAGTCAGTGTCCTCGTTCCCCCGAATCCCAATCATAGGCTGCGACGTACATGTGTTTGGCTTCCATCGGATGCTCATACAGCTCTGGTGGATCGATATTGAGCGTGAGCGGCTGTCGTGTCTTTTTGTCCTCCTTGGTCAGAATAATCGAAACGCGGTGCTTGCCGCCTTTTTGGTGCTACAAAGCCAACAAAAAGAATCAGTGAAAAGTTGGATGAGTGTTGTGATTGACCACAGCAGCAGTCAGTAAAGCGGTGGCTGTGTTCTGAGCGTCTCTGAGCGTGTCTAAGCAGCCAAATTTGGAGTCCGCGTCTCTTTGTACGACCAAAAATTCGCCTCCCTTGACGTTCCATCCCTAGCGACGAGCATCGCGGACTGTTTTCCCCTTGTCATCCTTGTACGTGTCATGAGCATGTAGCGGGGATGAGCTCACCGAGTTCCATTGCGGCTTGCCCAGCTGGTGCTTTTGACAAAACTCGCTCAGCAGCGTCGCGGGCGTCTTTCCAGTCCAGTTCCGAATGACATACGCTGGCATTCCTGCACCTGCTGCACCTGCTGCACCTGCTGCTGCGGCGGCGTTGGCTGGACCGTTGCTTCCACTCGCACCACCGCCACGAGGCTGAGATCCGCTCGCCCCGCTGCCAGACGCCCCCGCTGCGCTCGCCCCGCCAGTCCCTGCAGGCTGCTTGCCCTTGCCCTTGCCTTTGCCCTTGTCGGCCTCGGCGGCGGCAGCAGCAGCGGCGGCGGCGGCTTCCTGCGCTCGGCGGACATCGCGAAATTCGCGCCCTTCTTTGCCCTTTGGCTTGGACGGCGCCGACGAAGCAGGCGAAGTGATGAAGCCTTTCGTCATTTTTGGCTCAAAACAAGTAGACTGACTATGACTGAGACAATGGTAATATTCGAGCAAGAAGAAAAAAAAACCCAACATGAATAACAGGAGCAAAAGCAAAATTCAACACGATTGGAAACGACAAACGACAACAGCATCAACAACAACCCGGTCGAGTTTTATCGATGCGTCGAGCAACGCTCAATATGCTCAACCAGCTTGGCAGTGAAGGCATGCCGAGGGAGCAGCTGGTTGTAGATGGAGTGCGCCTGCGAGAAGCGGCTGAAGGCAGCGTCATAGTCGCCCTGGATTTCGTCGACACGCGCAATGTCACGCAGCCCCTTCGCCAGGTTGGGATGCCGAGAGCTGTAGAACTTTTCGCGAAGGGCAAGGGCCTTCTCGAGGTAGAGACGAGCAAGCTCCGACTGACCGAGATGGCGACAGGTGTTGCCAATCATGGACAGCGCCGTGGCAGTGTGGGACAGGGGATCCTTGGCCGACGCGACAGCCGCCTCGTACGTGTGGCGCAAAATGTCCAACTTGCGATGGTACTCGCCAACTCGGCCGTGGAGCCGCGCCATGATGAACAAGTGCTCGACGTTCGTCACGGCCGCGTCACTAAACAACTGGGCCTTCAGAGCAAGAACGTGCTGCAGGTGCTGGGCCAAGCCAGCCGCAGACGAGCCAACCTTGACAGACTTGAGCGCAGCACGAATCTCTTCTGCGACATCCGGGTCGAACGATGCAAGAGTTTTTTCAACGACGGTCAAGGACTGGTGCAGCGTCGCACTTGCCTGGTGCTCGTCCCCAACAAGCCGAAGCGCAAACGCCATGTCGAAGGCAACGTAGCCGACTTCAATCGAGTCGACGCCGCGGAGATGCGAGAGCTTGGCGAGCGACGACTCAAAGAAGGAGAGCGCCGTGTCTGGTCGTTGGGCGTAGAAGGCCAGAATGTGAGCGGTGCGGAAGTAGATGCGCGCAGAGTCGGCTGCCGAGAGGAGCGGCTTGTATAAACGAACGCACGCCAGCAGGAGCGGCAGATACGCGACGACGACCGAGCTCTCCGTCGAAATGGAGAGCGGATGGGAGCTCGACGTGACCAACAGCAGGGCATCGACCAGCCAGTCGACCATTTCCTCGCGATGGTCGCGACGATAGGTGGAGCGCACCAGACGCTGCACGGTGGGGTGCATCGAGACGGTCTGCATGCGGCTCGCCTCCACCGTGGTCGTCACGGCAGGGTCGTAGTCGAACGACACAATGCCCAGCTCTTGCAGGGACATGAGTGCGGCCCACGTCTTGCGGACGAGCAAGTTGGCGGCCAGCCCCAAGCTGCGCGCATGGACACCAATCCAGTGGTACAGCAGCGGAATGGGAATCCGATGAGGAATGCCGCCAAAGCTCATGCACTCGAGCAGCTTGACGGAAATTGGATTGCTCTGAACAGCCTTGGAGATCAAGCTCCACAGCGCCTGCAGACACCGCGGGGGCATTGGTTCGTCGTCGTCCATGTCGTCGTCGTGCTCGTCCAATTTCGTGCCATTCAGACGGGACAGGGCTTCCCCAAGCTGGGTGGTCAGCAATGGCACAGTCAGACGCTTGTTGGGATCTGCCTGGATGAGCTGCGCAGCCAGCGACAAGCCGAGCGGGATGCATTGAAGCTTTTCGACCAACGCCTGCAACGCCGCGCTGTCGCCACTGCTCCCATCGACACTCAGCAGCCTCGCGAAAATGCTGGAGGCGGCGCTCACAGAAGGAGCAGGGCACTTCCAGACAGCAGCTCGGGCCCACGCTTCCTCGCGAGAAGTGATGAGAACAAGTCCCTTGCGCGGACCGGCTTCGAACAGCACCTCGAGGTGCTCGGACGCGCTCGCGTTCTCAAACACAATCGCATAGGTAGGCACGAGCATGCCATCTTCGGGGTGGCTCGCCTTGACATGTCGGCGATCCAGCTCGCTGTGAACTTTGGCGACGAGGCCGTTGTCCTGTTGCGCAGCCTCGGCATCCATCATACCCAGGAGGACGGCCAGGCGCTGATAGCCCTGGTAGACGGCAGCCATCGTGTCAGCGGCCATCCAGTACACGCTTGATAGCTGCTGCACGTGCTTTTGCACGTAGGACAGGGCCAGTTGGCCTTTTCCGACGCCGCTCGAACCGGCAATCACGCAAACACGCGCTTGCAGGGGCTTGGAAGGGGTGGCTGCAGCAGCTTGAAGCGCCATCTCGCCACTTCCGGCAGCATCGGCCGTTACCGCCGGGGCACTCAGCGCAATTTGCACGACGGAGGCCGTACGCGAGGGCGCAGCACTGACCTGGTCGCGAATAAACTGACTCAAGCTTTGCAGATCGGCCACGTTTTCGGCTGCAATGTGCTTGCGAGCTGGGAGATTGAGAAACGCCACGTTGCTCGTGGCGCCGGGGCTGGCGGCCGTGACGGCTTCTGCAAAGTCAGACCAGACGGAAAGGCGCGCGGCATTGCGAAGCTCGTCGTTCAGCGTTGCAACGGCGCCCTGGAAGGCGGTCGCAAACGGGACGACAATCTTGCAGGCAGACGGACACAGTCGGGTGAGCAGCTCGCTGCCAAACGCGGTAAAGGCTGCGTGCCCAACGTTGTCCAGCGCTTGGGACGGCGAAAAGCTCATCACTGCCAAGCAGCGGGTGGCAGTGAGGGCGTTGACCAGCTCGTCCGAGACGGGCGTCAGAAACACCATGCAGACGGGCCAGTGCGGCAAGGCAATGTTGGGCGCGCTGGCAGCGTGCGCTTGCTGCTGGAGTTCGGCCTGCAGTTCTTGCAACAGCTGCTTCTCGAACGCCGACCCCGCCAAGCGCTCCATCGACGCGACAAAGACAATTCGACCCTGGCGATCCGAGGCATCCAACGACGGCGGTGCAGAGGGTAGCTCTGACGTGCAGCAGGCCTTGAATGGCGGCACCTTGGTCGGGCACAGCGAGGTTGTAAAGTTGACGTGCAGGGCTTCCGCCGCCACAAACCTGCACCGGAAGATTTCGAAAAACAAAACGAAATAAATGCGCGAATGTACCGTCGTGACATTTTTGGTGAGAACCATGTTTGAATCATGAATTGTGATCTGGTGAAAATGAAATTGCCTCGAGATTGCAGTTTGATCCTGGCCCCCCCCTTTTTTTGTTGTTGTCCTGTTGTTTGTCAACTTACAATGAAGTCACTGCGTTCGCAAAGACGGCCGTGGCGGTTGCAGCACGCGAGGTGGCCGTAGCCCAAGCAGCGGCGTCGCTCGCAGTGACGTGCTCTGTCGCTGCAGCGGTCGCTGCGGGCACAAGCGCACTCAGCAGCGCATGAGACGCGGCCGCCTGAGGGGTTGCAGGGATCTTGCTGGACCGGTTTGCTCGCGGCGAGTGCATCTCCGATGAGGAGGGCGATGTGGGCGACAGGGGTTGAGCGGGTCGCTGCTGCTGCTTGTCGGGCGTCGCGGGCGTCGCGGGCTGCTTGAGCAAGTTGCCAGAGCTCGTCGAGGCCTGGATCGACCGTGCTTGGGCAGCTGCTTTGCTGGTAGTAGCAGACGAGGTCGAAGCCGGCACGTCCTGCATGAGCGATTCGACAGAAACCGCCGTGAGCGAACCCTCCGAGACTGCACCGCCAGACAGCGGCGGCAGCGCCTGGGTCGATGCGAGATGCTCCATTCGGAAGACGGACGTTGCGGACGACAGCACGACGAGCTGCGCATGGGGGACTGTGGAGCGACGAGGGGGTTGAGATTGAGCGATGCACATCCCCATACAGACAACAGCTACAAAGCAAAAAGGGAGCTCCAATGGCTCATCCGTAACAAGCAAGCTACGAGTGTCATCCACGCTCTACGGCTTCGCACTGGAACGAACAGCTCCCAATCCAGCAAACCTCCGACAATGCGAATCCATCAACCACCCTCACTCATCCCCCCCCCTTATCAAATAATCCTCATCAGTAGTGGTTGGTCATGTTTAATGTGCGCTTTTACATCGGACGTGGTCGGACGAGACGACAGACAGCGCGCAGTGCGCATCCGTCAGGTCGCTGCTGGAGAACATCAGTTGAGCGGAAAGAACAAAAAGAGTGACCAGTGGCTTTTGCTATGGATGCAGCAATTGCATCACTCTGACCAGCACTCTGAGCGATGGTTCCATGATACCAGGTGGAGGGAGGGGTGGAAATTTCTGAGACAGCTCTCGCTTCCATTGAATTTTCCATTGAATCCCACCGGTTTTCCACATCCACAGCATTCACTTTCCACTGTTGAATCTCCTCTGTTTGACTCTTCTCTATTTGACTCTTCTCTATTGATCGATTGGCTCTTCCTTGCATTGCCTTTGAGACTTTTTGTTGAAATCCATTCTTCCATTTTTCTCAGCACCACTTTGTGATCATTCTTTTATTTCTTATTTCTTAGTTTTTCTCTATATTCGTCCATTCATTCAGTCACCCGTTTTGCTTTCCAAACCCTGAGCTCGTGAGTGAGGGGTGCAACAAACAGGTTTTCCCCGCGTTTTGTTGGACTGCTGATCATCGTCAAACTCGACCCTCAACTCGCAATAGCAGCACAAAGATCAAACACACATAAGAAGCAACAAACAAGGAGGGACTTGAACTGACATGTCGTCGAGGTCCCATCGCCCGGACGCCGAGGTTGAGGACTTTGAGACGTTCGACGATCGGACGCCCGTATACGCATACGAGCAGACACTGGTAAGGCACACAAAGTGGAGTTGGATTGGATGATGTGTTTGGCTGTGGTTGCTGAATGGATCAGGGAGAGAGAGAGAGTGGGGACAGAGTGAGTGGGGGGACAGAGGGAGCAGATGAATGGAGCAAAGAACCAAAGGAAAGCCAAAAAAAAAAAAAAAAAAAAAAAAAAAAGGGATACTACCCGCTCACTGCTCTTGCTACCATTTGCTTACCATCGCCGCCATACTGACCTTCTAACTATTTCTCCTCGCTTCCCTTCTCTTGTCTCTGCTTTTTGTTCTCCAGGGCTATGGCAATTACTCGAGCGTCGCGCTGAAGCAGTTCGCAAAGGACACTGCTGCGCGGTTGAACAGCAAGGGCAAGCAGCCAGCGAGCGACCAGCACGACGCAGACCCAGCAAGCTGGGACGCAAGCAGGAATCGAGCAGGCTCAACAGCGAGCAACAGCGGAGGAGGCGGCGGTCTGGCCGTCGCCGCACTGTTCGCCCCTCAGGATGCATCGGGATCCGGCGCAGCAGGCGTGGCGTCGTCGTCGTCGTCGGGAGGCAGGCGGGCGGACGACGCGCTCGAGATGCCGCTCGACCCGCTCAACCCTGACGCGTCCGTCGCGCTGGACTTGCACTCGAGCGCGTCAGGACCGCTCGTCAGGCACGGCGATCCAGTCCCAGGAACAGAAGTACACACGGAGGAAATCGATCTCCGGGGCGACGGCAGCAGCGCAGATGGAGGAGCACGGTCCAACAAGGCTGCAGACGATCTGCGCGCCCTCACCACGCCACAAGGTACCACCAGTGGCTGATTGTGTTGGGGGTGGTGTTTTGAAGCTGAAGCGCTTGGTTGGTCATCGAGGGTTGGGCGTGGGGCTCGGAAAAAGGGTCAACTATGTTTGCCAACCTCTTGACTCACTTGCCTGCGACCCTCAACACTTGGACCGCAAACACAGGCATCAAAGCCCAGCTTTCGTACTGGGTGGCAGCAGTCTTCAACAACGATTGGGTCTTTTTGGCTCTGCTCGGCATGCTCACGTCCACCATTGGCTTTACTGTCGACTTGACGATCGCGCAAGCCGAAGCTGGTACGCGGATATGGGATTAGACGGCGCGCAATTGCAGCTTTATCTAACTCATCCGAATTGTGATAGGTCATCGCCAACTCGTTCATCTTACGGACGACAAGTTTCTTCAATACCTGCTTTGGGTGTCTGTCACGATGGGAGTGATGCTCTTTGCCGTTGGATTCACTCATTTCGTCTCTACCAATGCCATCGGTACGACATGGATGTGGTGCAAGCATGTGGGGTTTCGCGTTTTTGATCAGAGATCTGAATCGTTTTTTTTTTGGTTTTTGGTTTTCCCGTGACTTTGGTCAGGCTCTGGCATTCCCGAACTCAAAACCATCCTCAAGGGTATCGATTTGTACCACTACTTTTCCTTCCGCACGCTTGTCGCCAAAATTGTAACGCACGATCATGTTTTGTTTTCTTTTTCGAGCGTGTTTTTGACTGAATGTTGGCTCACTGTATTGTCCTGGTCCATGTCGACAGGTTGGTGTGGCAGGTGCCATCGGAAGCGGCATTCAGCTTGGCAAAGAGGGTCCTTACGTGCACATTGCTTGCATCCTCGTGCACAAGGGTTCGAAACACCTGTTCAAAGCGATTGCGAATGTAAGCAGAGAGCTTGGATGTGGCGTGCACATAATGGCGTTTTCTAAAAACTCGTCGCTCTTGCTACACGACTACAGAACAAGGCACGACGATTGGAAATGCTTTCGGCTGCTTGCGCCGTCGGTGTTGCGGTCAATTTCGGTGTGCCAATCGGCGGAGTGTTGTTCGCCATTGAAGTCACTGCGACCTATTTCGCCATTCGCAACTACTGGCGAGGCTTTTTCGTGGCGACGGTCTCGGCATTGATGAATCGTGTTCTTGTGACGTGGTACACGGGTTCCGGTGAGAAAGCGTGGCCCTGCTCTGCTGCGCCATTTTCTGTTTCCATCCCGTGCGCGTTGGTTTTCATTTTTGTCGTTGCTGTTGTTGCTCTGTTTCTTGTGCAACCGCAGGTGTCATCACTCCACTCTATCAAACCTTCTTCCCGAAAACGAGCTACCAGCCCATCGAACTCTTGGTGTTCATTCCGCTGGGCATGCTGGGCGGCTTGATTGGCTCCTTGTTTGTCAAGTGCCATCGCAAGTACATTGATTTCCGCCGCCTCAAGCTGAACAACATTTCTTGGATTAAGAACAAGTAGGTTTTTGTTGTGTTGACAGGCGGTTGTTTTGTGTGTGAACAAATCTCGTGCTCACCATTCACCTCGACCGAACAGTTGGTTCATGTATCCGCTTATTGTGACCTTCGTGCTGGCCACTGTGACGTCCGGTGTCGTCATTGGGCCGTACATGAATGTGAGTTAGATCTCTCGCGTTTTCGTTGCCTCCGCTGAATTTCCCCACCTCAATTCGCGTGTTTGGTTTTTTTTGTCATCTGCAGCTCACACAACGTCAAGTCATTAACAATCTCTTCTCGCAAGAACCATTGGTGAAAGTCAATCCCGACTGGGACTACCCAAACATTTTCGTTGCTCTTTTGATTTTCGCCTTTGTCAAGTTCTTCTTTGTCATTTTTGCCATCTCGTTGCCTGTTCCTGCCGGAATGGCCTTCCCCGTCTACGTACTCGGCGCAGCACTCGGGCGCTTTGTCGGCGAGGTGATTGCTGTCATTAATCCCAATCCTGTGGAGGGCTGGATTCCTGCGAGCTACGCCCTAGTCGGTATGTGAGCGGAAAGGGGGACATTTTTTTTTGGACTTGTTTTTTTTGTGTCTAACACTTTATCCATTTTCTGGCAACAGGCGCGACTTCGTGTGCTGCGGGTGTGACACACACAATTGCGATCGCAATCATTACATTCGAGCTGACGGGTCAGATTCACCACGTCATTCCGCTCTTGGTAAGACGATGCGGTATTTTTGGAGTGCCTTCCATGTTCGCTTGTTGCGTTTTCCCCCGACCTAACCCTTGGTTGTAGACTGCTGTGGTTGTTTCAAATGCGGTTGCGCAATCCTGGATGCTGTCCTTCTACGAGAGCGTCATTCAAATCAAGAAGCTACCATTCTTGCCGGATCTGAGAAAAGGACGGTAAGGACATCCGTCGCCTTTGACTTTTTTCCCCTTTCTTTTCCCTCCACGCACGTCATTTGCAACATTACTCATATTTCGTCTTGCTTGCAGGCTGTACAACATGACTGCCGCCGACTTGATGAATCGCGACCTGGCGCTCGTGAGCGAAGAATCCACCTACGCAGACATCAAAGACCTCGTTTCAAAGACCGAGTTCAGCACCTTCCCAGTTGTGAACAGCCGCGGTAAGTGGAAAATACAAGCACAGTTTCATGGCAGACGAAAGGCAGTTTCGCAAGTTCTCACACTTTGTTGTTTTGGTTGTGCTTGAATTCAACCAGAGGCAATGATTTTGATTGGCACGATTCGTCGTGATGTTCTTCAGCGCATGCTCAACGAGCAGCTCAGCAAGGCTCTTGCGGGACTTGGGGGGCGTTCGCGCTCCCACACGCTGGATGGAGCTGTGTCTGACGACGAACATCACGGAGACACCTTCTCCAGTATCACCAGCAATGTGTCGTTTACTGGCAATGAGACTCTGCCAACGGATTCGACGTTGCCAGAAAATGAGGTGAGACTTGTTTTTTTTTTTTCGATTTTGCGAATTTGGCGGCGTTTGCCATTGTGGTGTCTTTTGCGCCTTTTGTTTTCTCATCGACGTTTTCATGTTGGTGCTCACAGCGAAAGAAAAAGCTCCGAAAGCGCCGCATGCCGAGCTTTGTCAACATTTTCCGCAAATCCGTTGAGAATGTGGACGCACCAGTAGAGGCCCAGCCAGACGAGCGAGAAAAGAATGCACTCGAGGTATGTTGATTGTTGATGGATCGTCGTTTTGTCGCTGTGCTATGGTGCTAGCTGATCGTTTTTTGCATGCTGTTTCACGTTTCTCGTTGCTGAAACAAGGGACTCACTTCTGAACGTTCTTTGTCACTTTTGCTCAGCGCCGCATTCATTCCCTTCTTGACGAGCAAGTGGTTCTTCGAGGCGCACGAATCGATGCATCCCCCTTCCAGCTTGTTGCGCGAACTTCGCTTGCAAAGGTACACTTGGTCTTCTGTTTGAGCAGAGTGTTTTGGATCGTCCCAACTGAACATTCTCGTTTTGTAGGTCCATTCGTTGTTCTCGCTCTTGGGCCTCAATGTTGCCATTGTCACGTCGCGTGGACGCGTCGTGGGCGTTATCACAATGCGCGAGTTGAACGCTGCAATTGAAGGCGCTTCTGCCAAGCCATAGCCTCGCCTGCCTTGGCGCCACAATTTATCAGTTGTTTGAATGTCCCTGTTGTCTTTGATGTACTTTTTTGTTTTCAATGGTGTACTCTAGCTTGGCCGTGTGTGTGTATGTGTTTTTTTGTGTGTTTGTGGTTCATTGCTGTCTTAAAATTATTGTTTTGTTGTTGTTTGAGAGAACTGACTTTCAACGCATCTCGGACCGCAACCTGACATCTTGGCGCATGCATCCCACTACAGGCCTGGCACTTCGATGCCAGCCCGCCTCAACAGCTCAGTCATGGTGCGCGAACCATGTGAAAGCAAAAATCGTACTTGCAAAATGGTCTGCTCGTCCTGCGACATGGGCAATCCATCGAGCAAGTTGATTCCCTGAAGCGTGCCCAGTGTGGCTGCAACGGCACATGACAAGTTGAGGCTCTGTGTGAAGCCGACCGTTTTCAGGAAGAATGTCGCGTCGGATGAGTTGACGAGCAAACGCGAAACTCCCCTCGATTCGTTTCCAAAAGCGAGCGCAAGCGATTGCACAGGTTTTAATACAGGCGAAGCGTGCGCTTTGACGATTGGCGTGGCTGGAGGCGTTGGCGGAGCAGCCGCCTCATGCTTGAGGACTGAATCTGGCGTCAAACGTATCGCGGCGATGGCTGCACGCTCGTCCAGCACATTCGTCAATGCTCTTCTTTGCTCTGTTGTTAATGTCGAGAGTGATGGGAGCCAGCTTCGAACGCCGTGCAGCAGTTCGGTTGCATTGCCAGACAGGTCTGACGCCACGAGCGCGCAGTTGGCCTCTGCGAGTGCCGCGCGGCAGTGCTCCACGCTTGGATGGTGATGCACCAGCGTCCATGTATGTGCTCCGCTCGCGACCGTTTCCGATGGTCGAAACGTGCTGAACGACTCTGTGCAACACGAGGAAGAGTGATTTGAGAATTCGACCCCGACTCCGAACTCCCCCCCCCGTCCCACCATCTGAGATTCATGATGGTTTTTACCAATGACATGGACGTGTGCAATGCCAAAGGACTCGGCGGTACGGATGCACGCGGACGCTGCAGAGCATGTTTTCAACGCGACGTGAGTGTTCAGTTTGCACACTTTGGCCCTTCCTCGCCTCTCGGGTCTCCGTCCTGCTGCATTGGCAAGCGCTGTACCATTGTGTGGATCCATGCAGTTCTCGAGCACAAGCCGTAGCGACGACCGCGAGCCAACAACCTGAAAACAACACAGACATTCTGAGAACAAGGCTTCAAAAATTTGCGCGGGAAAAAATTCTCAGATTCTTGTATTGTCGGATGTTGTACCTGAGCAATGCGTTGCATGCGCGCTGGATTGATGCCTGGTGGCGATTTCGATGACGCGAGGAAGTTTAGAATGCGCCGCGAGAGATCGAGTGTGAGTGCCATTCAACGGAGAAGAAGAAGAAGAAGAGTGAACGAAGAGGAAGAGTGAATGAGGAGTGGTTTCTGAGCATCTGAGAACGAACGCTGGTTTCCGTCCTTGCAATCACAACCATTTGCCTCACGAGCTTGCAAAGTTGACTTTGGATGTCCCATTCACGGCATGTCGAGGTCTATTTGAGAGGGATGAAAGTACTGAGACTCAATGGCCAAAATCTCAATCTGAGCGTCTCTGTTCGTTCCAATCATTCAATCTTTCCTGCTATACTGCTTGCTTTCTTCAGTCTTTTCTCTTCCTTTCTTCTCCAATCGTTGAATGGAGTCTTCAGATTTGAATCTGGGCGAGTATGCTGAAGTGGATCGGATTGCAGCCCCGACGACGCGCCGACCAGCACCACCGCCGCCTCCAACCCAACAGCAACAGCAACAGCAGACTGAGAAAACTGAGCAAACTGAGCGAACTGAGCTGAATGGTGGCGCGGACGGACTTGTGAGCGAGTACATTGAAGCAGACGTTGTTCTGCACCGATCCCCCCAACAGCAGCCAGCAGCAGCCAATGCTGATAATGCTGATGCAGTCATCTACGAGCAGCCACCTCACCAGCACGCAGCGGCAGCAGCAGCAGCAGCAGCAGCAGCAGCATCAACTGCGGCACAGATTGCAGGCGTCGCAGCGCAGAAGAATCGCCGACGCCGTCCCAGCGAGTCCGCCTCGACTGCCTCGCTTCAATCCAGTCACGCTGATGGTCATGATGGTCACGATAATCACGATGATGATAACGCCGTGTCGGGCGGCGGTCGTGAGCTGGCGCGACGAGCACTTCCGCCAATCCCGGTCATCGCCGCGCAGTCAAGTGATCCTACTGAAGCAACAGCCGTCCACAGCGATCGCCATACTGATGCTGATCATCGCTTCACCAACAATGCATCAAGTCAAGACCACAATGATGATGTTGATGATAATGTTGGTGATGATGATACCTATGCTCAGATCCAGTCTCAGAAGCCAAGCAAAGCCAAACCGGCGCTTCCACCGCGTCGCAAGTCCAACCCACCAGCGCCTGCCAATGCTGTGAATAGCAGTGCCTCAATCGAGGACGATCATCCGAGCCATACTCAACCGTCTGGAAGTGCTGCCAACCATGCTGCGATGAGCGTCTCAGCGGAAGACACGAGTAAGGATCGTCAAGCGTTTTCTCATGCAGTGCTTTTTGTTTGCCGGATATACGAGCTCATGATTGCACCGATCTTGCATGACAGACGACCAAGACTTGTCACCAAACAGCATAGACAGCCCGGGAGATCGATCCGACCTCGAAGATCAGCTTGGTTCTGCGTATTCGCCGCGTCGGTACTTGGATGTGGAGGCCCCCAGCAGCCCGGCCGTGTCCTTGATTTCAGAGCCAGTGGATGCGATTGTCGTCGAGCCAGTTCGTAGCACGCCAGGCCCCGTCCCGTTCAGCAAGCTGGCCGTCCTTCAAAGTCACCTGGCGGCGTCCAACTACTCCGTCCCTGTGGATCATGTAGCCGACGCATCCGCATCAACTGCACCACTCCGGGTGCAACCCGGCAGTGGCGGCCACGACGTTGAGGAAGAGGCGCTCTACGCGACAGTGCAAACGGTGCCGCGACCACTCCCCTCGTCCACCGCCGCTGATGCTGCTCAGTATGCGAAGCCGTCTGTGCCAGCACGCTGGGCAACGAGCAACACACCTGCCAGTGCTGATGGAGCGATTCGCACACCCGTCCCAGACGGCGTTTACGATGCTCCAGTGCCGCTGGTGCCTTCGGCGCGTGGTTGGATGCCGAACGAGGACCTCCTCGCGCTATCGACGTGGTTTGCCTTCCAGACACGCTTTCCGACAACCACTGGTTCAACTCGACACGGTAAGCAGCAACAAAACGACATTCAACTGAAGTCTGTTTGGGTTCACTTTGTGTGTTTGGCTTTTTTAAAATTCATTGCTTGCTCGTGCTTTGTACCTCAAACCTTGTAGACGTGCTGGTGGATCGATTCCGACTTGTGGCATTGGACTTGGCGTTTGGAGTGACGACTGGAGCCAATTCATCCTTTCGGCATCTACAGCCGTTGCTTGCAGCGTTTGAGCAAAGTGACGAGTACGCGAGAATCAGCGTTATTAGTGTTTCCTTTTCGTTTGCTTGTTCGGACAACGTTATGATTTCCCCCTTTGCTGACGCTTTCTTCCTTTTTTGTTGCCTCTCCAGTCTTCGCGTCCGAAGTCAACCGCTCCAAGCTTTTCCTTCAACAGCGGACGACTTCCTGAAGGCTTGCAACGCCGCTCCTGTCGTGGTCGTGGCGGGTCGCGGTCGGCTGGACGAGCACGAGGACTCTGTCAACGCAATCATTCAGCAGGCACATCAGGACCGATACGAATGCACTGCCCAATGTCTGATCTTTTTGTCGCCCATCCCATATGGTCTTGCCAGCGCCTTCTGCCATTGGGGTGCTCAGTGCGTGATTGCATTGAATGCGTCGTCGTTCTGTATCGACGCGATGCACTGCGCCGTTGGCCAAGACGACGTTCTAAGCTTCACGACGACGCTCCTTCAGAATCTGTTTCGTGCTCAAGATTCTGACGCGTACATTTCGTATCCTGCATTGTTTGCACAAGCTCTGGAAAGCGTCTCTGCGCGTGCTCGACCGTGGTTTCAACTGGCACACAAGCCACCGTTGCCAACACGTGAGTAGTCCAGCCCCAGCCGAGCTCATCTCGCATTTCCCCATATCACTTTGTTCCACTGACAATGATATGTTTTTGTGCTTTTGTGTTTTGCTGTCCCCCCTCCCAGTTCACAAGGCTTGGTCGTCCACCGCTGCCAAACCTCGCCCAGTGTTTCGGCGCGCCACTAGTGAGCCGACCGTTTTGCATGTCACATCAATTCGTTTGTGAGCAGCTTGTCCTCACTTCTTTTCCCCCCGAACTTTTCATACGCTTGTGATGCGCTTCAACTCCAATGCTACAGATTTCAAGGTGTTGAATTTCATCTGCAACGCGACGCTCTTGAAGGCTGCTGCCGAGAATACTCTTGCGATGGAGTCGGATGAAGACGAGGCTACGCGAAAGCTTCCCCACTGGACTGTGATGGAGATTCCCCACAGCTCGCCGGAAGCCATTGCAGGAATGAATGTCAATGTCGACCGCCTGGACCAAATCCGCTACTCTCTTCTCTCCTTCCGACCACAGGTGGTTGCGTTTTCTGTTCCTGGCGCAGTCGTCCAGCCCGCCGACATGGCTGCGCGCCTGACGCTGTACGAACACTTGGCCAGAGTTGTTCGCGACAACACGGACAAGGTGCAATGCGTGGTGCTGCCATCGTCCTACTCTGTTGAAGGTGCCTGGCGCCTCTTTGTCCAGACACAACCGGAGGATGATGAAACGGCTGGTGTCGACGCAGTGATTGGCATGCAAGGACAGTGCGACGGCATCGCCTCCGACTATTTCGTCATGGAGTTTTGTTACCTGCTCGCTACCAGTACCGTTCAGATCAACGATGCGTTTGCTTCAGCCACTGAAGCCATCTCAGGCACTCCTTGGTTGTCGTATGCGTCGTTCGGCACCATGCAGACTCTGCAAAGTGCGCAGGCTCACTATGCCGCCCTGCCGCGGTTGTTCTCCCGCGTGACAAACAACCCGCTTGCGCGCGTGCAAAAGGTGCGCGCACAAGAGCTGCAGCAATCGCGCGTGGCGCCGAATCCCATCGCGTTGCGGCTGGGCGATCGCCCGGCGCAGGTCTCGCCCACATTGGCTGTCGAGGTGGGTGCTGGTCATTCGCCAAAAAGCACCTCGTCGTCGCCGGCAGTTGCTGTTGCCGTTTCCGCTGCGGTAGGTGATGTGGAAACTCCCGCGCTGGACGCACTCCTGCAGCAGCTTGAATCTGCAAACTCGCTGGCCAACGCGACTTCCGACCTCATTGCTCTCGTTGTTGGCGGAGTGGCTGGGAGTGGCAAAACGACACTGCTTCGACAACTCGAGCTGGAACTCTGGGCCCAGTGGTCAGACGTCAAGAACATTCCCGTCTACGTCTCCATGTCGGATGTTCTTGAAAGCCAAACGGAACTAGGTCCTCTCGAGCGAGCCATCCAGCAACGCCTCTCCACACCTGGCACGCTCTTGGGGCCTGCTGATGTCAGAGAACTCCAGCTCACGTGCGGCTTTACGTTCTTGATTGACTGCGTTGCCAATCTGCGCGGGTTGGAGTCTCTGAACTTGCAGCAGTGGCGTTGCAACACTGTGCTTGCCGCCCGCCCGAACGACTGCGCTCGCATTGAGCAGCGTCGCTTGCAGCTGTTCAGTCCATCCGCGAGCCTGACTGTCCGCCACATCCAGCCGTTGACGGCAGAGAACAAGCTGGCCTTTGTTTCCAAGTGGCTTGCCGCTGACAATTCCAACTACAAGAGCTGCTTGGGAGTCATTCTCAACAAGACATCCCAGCAGCGCACCTCGTCCAGCCATGCGTCTGCTGCTGCGACGACTGCTGCGGCAGCTATTGCGTCCGTGAGGATCGGCACGTCAACACCGCTCGGGATTGGCCGATTTGGTTTCTGCCAGTCCGGGCTCTTCGCCCGTGGCTTCTCGCGCAGTTTCGCGACGCAAATCGTCGAGCTCTGTCGTTTCGCGGCTGCATGGTGACGCCTCGTCGTCCAATCTGCTTCTGTCGCATAGTCCTGTTGCTGCGGCTGCTGCCGCGGTTGTGGCGATCAGCACCTCGCCCGGCACACCCGCTCCCCTCACACGAGCTGCAAGTCTGACATCCGTATCCATTGATGGAGCGCCCGTCCGCCGAGCAGCTGCTCTCACTCCTTCCCGCCCGTCCGTTGCGTCGCGCGCGGTGGAGGCGGCGCTCGCCGACACGCCTCCTGCGGATTGGGATGCCTCGATGCTTTTGCAAGCCTTCAGCACCTTGAAGGGGTTTGCAGTCGTAACCCAAACCGTTTCCGGCATTGCCATGTGGACGGAGGCGTTTCCAACGCTGCTCGAGCAGTTCGAGCGGCACGCTGCACTCAGCCTGCATTCATCACCCATTACGCGCACCGAGCTCGTGGATGTGTACGTGCTGCAGTACATTCATCACCGGATGGCTCGGTTGCGATCGACAGCCGCCATTCCCGAGGGCATCTCGAATGTTGTGGCCGAAGTGCTGGATGCATGCAGCGAGATTGCCGGTGAACTGTTCCGCCAACAGCTGACCGCTGCGCCATTCTTCCCGAAGCGCCCTCGCGCCAATCCTGCTGTCTGGCGCCTGCTCCTCAACCGCCAAGACCAGCGAGCGGCCTTTCTGCTCGAATGTTCGCCAATCTCGATCGAGCGCGTAGAGCGCAACGCGTCCAGCGTGTTGGACTCGGCTCTGGAGGCCATGCCTGGCAGTAGCAAGGGCAAGTCGTCGGAGCCAACAGCGACATCCTCCGCTTCGACTTGGAACCTCTTTGATGCTGCCACTTCAAGCGAGGCAAGCGAAACAACGGACCTGTACACTTTCGCGCCGTCGGCGTTGTTGGACTACTTTGCTGTGCGCTTCATTGTGGCCGCTCCCGACACTGACGAGTTTGTCAGCCGCTTCCGCACTTATCCGAGCTTTACGGACGATCTCAACATGGTCTCTCTGTTTGCCGACCGCGTCCGCAATGATGCGTCGGTGGAAGCCCAGTTTAAACAGATTGTCGAACGAGCGCGCAAATCCGCTGCCATTGGACTGACGAGCGACGCTTCTGTCGCGGATCACTCGGTGGCCAACGCAATGTCAGTTCTCACCGCGGCCGGCTGCTCGTTCAATCGAGCTGCGCTGCAAAATCTGCAAGCGCCGGATGCCAACTTGACCCATGCCATGCTCGTGGAAGCGGATGTTTCTGGGAGCGATTTGAGCGCCGCGACGCTTGCTGGTGCCCAAACACGCGATTTGGGCAGCAAGGGCGCCCTCGTGCCAGCAGGCCCAGTGGAACACTTGCCGCTGGTGTCCAACTTGAGCGGCGAGGCGCTCGCAGCAGCCTTCTCTCAGGATGGGTTGCTCTTGACCGTCATTGACTCGAGCCTGCGTGCCTCTCGCTGGGACGTCCGGTCCGTCATGCGCTCTGAGCTCGCGACTCGCGATGTTTCTAAAACCGTTGCATCTCCGCTCTCCGCGCCGTTATCGTCGTCCTCATTGTCCTCTCTGAGCTCGTCCGGCGCGCTAAGCTCACTCACTGCAGCGAGCGCTTCCGCCAAGTTGGTCGACGAGTGGCAGTTCAGCGACCCTCCAGCCTGGTGGAAGTCGCTCTTTGGAGACGCTGCAACCGAGCCCGCCGACTCGTCCGCTGGGCAGAGCTTGGTGGCTCAGCCGGTGCTGTCCGCCACTGGCTCGGTCGCTGCTGTCGCCGGACTCGAGCAAACCGAGGCTGGAGCCGTGGACGGCGAACTGGCAGGCGCGCCCAATTTCGCGATCGTGTTGCACGACATTCGTCGTTCCAGCTTCTTCCGTCGCGTCCTCGTGGGGCACCAGCACAAAGTGACGTCGATGATGTTTGTTGGCGATGCGCATCTTGTCTCTGGCGATGCTTCTGGGCAGATTCGAATCTGGCACAACGCTCTTCTCTCAAGCGATGCGTCCGTTGTTTTTGGCCCTGGATCTGCACAAGGTGTGTATTGATGGGGCGGGTTTTTTTTGGAAAAGCGAAGTTGCCATTGCGTGGTTTGGCCGTGCCTCATCTTTTGATATGCTTGTCGTTTCAGAATCGGAGGCTGCAACCTCTCGTGCCATCACTGCAACCTCGTTTATTGCCCAGCGCGAGTACGAGTTGACCATTCACGAAGGAGATGAAGTGCAAGTACTGGATCAGTCCAACCCGGACTGGTGGTGGGTAAGTTGTCAGTTGGTCGCGTTGCCAAAACAACAACAACAAACAACAACCTCACTCCTGGTCGTTGCTTCCGCAATATTTTCTTCCCCTGTTCTTTTTTTTTGGCAGATTTCGTTCGGTGGCCGACAAGGCTGCGTTCCACAAAGCTGCCTGATGCCGTTGGCTCAGGAGGCTGCTCGCTCTCTGTCAGGATCACGCACCAGTTTGCTCGAATCGGTCCCTTCCAGCGAGGCTTTCATTGTGGCCCGCAGGAAGGCGCTGGGAACCAAGCCTGTGTTGCACGCAAACATGATTGGAGCGCAAGGAGAGCTCGTGGTCGCTGCAACCACCAAAGCCGTGCAGCTGTGGTCTGTGGAGGAGCGTGTGCTGGCACGCGAGCATGTTGTGGCTCATGCGCACATTGTCGCTGCGACCAGCAACCAGAAGTGGATTGCATGCACCACAGATCGCCATCTCGTCCTGGTGTTTGCCATCACTTCGCACCTGTCGACCAGCAGCAGCAGCAGCAGCAGCAAACAGCTGCCTCATGCGTATCGTGGCGCGCAACTCGAGCAGTCGTATACCTTTGACTTGAGCCGCGGCCAGTTTGACCAGCTTGGAGCTGGCATGCTCGCCTCTGCTGCACTGGGATTGCCTTCCTCGCGTGGTATTTCGCTGAAACTGGCGACGCAAAGCAGTGTTCTCGCTTGCAGCGGCGCAACTCAGGTCACCCTGTTTGACCTTGATGCTGGCCATACGGTAGCACACCGTCAAATTGAAGGCGGACACGTGGTCGGATTTTCCGACGACTGCTCATCCGTCGCCGTCGCGTTTAGCAAACGGGTGCTCCTTTGGGATGTCGAACTGCCTTCCGACCGCGAACTTTCCCGCACCCAATGTGGTGGATTGTCATGCCTGTCGGTTTGCGCATCCGCCAATCTCCTCGTCACCGGTGAGACGTTTGGAAGTATCAAAGTCTGGGATGCGTCGTCATTGGCGTTGCTGGCAACGTTGGGCCAGTCATTCCCCGTGCACTCTGTCGCCATGTCTCCGCTCGGCAATCTGGTTGCTGCTGCAGGGCTTACCATCGAGCAAAACACCAGCGCGCTTCAGCCCGGCCAGGTGCTCAAAATGTGGCAAACGCTGCCAACGAAGACTCAAGAAGCCAAGCTCATCCAGGGTTGCGAGCGCCTGGTTCGCTCGGTGAGCTTTGGCCGCGACGGCAAGTTCATGGCATGCGGCGAAGCAGAAGGCCGGGTGACCGTGTGGAGTACCGAGACTGGACGCGTCAAGTACGATTTTGGCAAAATTGCGCGAACAGCAGCCCCAATCCCTGGAGCTGATTTGGCCTTGGACGACCGTGGGCACGAGGGCCCGGTACTCAGTGTGTGCTTTTCTCAAAACACTGCTCTGGTCGACAATGACGATGGAGGCCGGTTTGTTCTCGTGTCGTCGAGCGAAAGCCCCTCTGCAACTGTCGTGTTCTGGGACTTGATCTCGGGTCAGTCCATCCTTCAGTTGGCCGGCATCGGAGGCAGGGTGGCAGAGCTGAGCAGCTGCAGCCAGTACCTCGCAGCCACCGTTGCATCGAGCGGGTACCGCACGGTTGCCGTCCATGTCGTGCCCTCGCTGCTTTCGATGCGTCAGCTGCAGCTTTCGGCTGCGCTGCTTGCCCAAAAGAAGCCTCCAACCCCTCTGCTGACCTTCCGAGGCCACGATGGCCCCGTCACTTGCATTAGTTTTGCCCCGAACGGCATGGTTGCTGCGACTGGCAGCGCCGATACTACCGTTCGCATCTGGGCCATGCCGCCTCCGCACACGCGGAATATCTCGAACGCTCGCGCCAACGGCAGCGGCCGATGCCTGGCCGTCCTGAGGGCACATACCGACATTGTCACGTCCGTTGCCTTCCACGGCGAGAGCGGCATGCTGTACTCCTGCGGTCTGGACGGCGCGCTGCTGCAATCCGCTCCCGTGGCGCCGTGCTCTGCATCTTCCGCTTCGTCTGCCTCCTCTGCAGGTCTGGCGACGCTTTCTTCGACCCCCATCGAAGCTGCTAGTGCCACCGCACCCGTGCCCCATGGCCAGCCGCCATCTGCAGCAGTCTGGCGCGTGGTTCGCGTGGCAGCCAGTCCTTCGCCACCGCTCGTCCAAACCGAAGGGTTGCTCGCTCGCGCCACCGCCTGCTCCATTCAATGAATCATGATTGTGCGCGTGTTTGAAAGTGTGTTTGTTGTATTGCTGTAGATCTGTTTCTGTACGATTGAGTATTGAATGTGTTTTGTTTTTGGGATTTGTTGTTGTTTGAGTCGTCTCTCATTCAAATGCATTCAATCGGGTTTTGCATGCTTGTTGCACTCATGCTGTTCAGTCCTTTCTCTTCCAGATCTGGCAGATTGGGACCTCCAAATTTGACCTTGCCTGATCTTGGATGCTGAGAAACAATGGCTGAGATTGCTTCGATGCGGCTGCTCCGCTCCGGCGCGTCCCATCCGCCGCGCAATCCATCTCATGCATTCATCCCGAGCAAAGCTCAGCTGCTAGTGCGCGCTGCGTTGCTGGCGCTCGGGATGACTCTGTTTGCGACCGGCTTGTTCCAGCTGCCATCGCCGTCGCCAGCAGGCCGCTGGTCTGCCGATCCGTTCGCCCACCCGACCCTGCGCTGTGCTGACGACGAGCCAGACTGCATGAACTGGGATGGCGGCGACCGTCCTGCGGCGTTCGATCGGATGGTCTTTGTCGTGATTGACGCACTGCGCGCCGACTTTATGCTGCCGTACCGCCGTTTGCCTCAAGCTGGCGAGCCAACCGACCACGCAGGGAGCTCAAGTGACGCATCCAGTGCTCGTTGGGAGCCTGGGCGGGCCAATCATGCTCGATTCCGTCAACTCATCCAGTCCTCCAACCGGTCGCTGCCGTTCGTTGCCCATGCACAGACGCCGACAGTCACGCTGCCGCGCATCAAGGCGCTAACAACAGGCAGCATCCCTGGATTTCTGGATCTCGCGTTTAATTTTGGCGGGTCGCTGTCGACGAGCAACGGATTGGAGCAACAAGCGACAATGCCAACGCTCGAATCTGCCAAGCTCCTCCCGCCGCTGCCTGCCAGCTGGGTGGATGCGCTGGTGGAGGCTGGCAGAAAGGCCTACTTTTTTGGAGACGACACGTGGCTTCGGCTGTACCCGCGGCACTTTCGCCTGCACGACGGGACAACCTCGTTTGTTGTGCACGATTTTGTGGAGGTGGACCAAAATGTGACTCGACACATCGTGCCTGCGGTGCTGGGTCTGTACGATACAGGGCATTCGAGTCTAGATGCACACAACATTCAGCGAAATACCCAAGTACCCGCGTCGGCATCGGCGTTTTCGGACGACGGCTGGCGCTGCATTGTGCTGCACTTTCTCGGCGTAGACCACATCTGCCACGCCGAGGGGCCATCGAGCCCAACGCTTGGCCCGAAGCTCGATGAAATAGACGACATGCTGTTTGACCTGCACCAACTACTGCTGGGAGAGGATGCACGACAAAACACGCGAACATTGCTGGTCGTGTGCGGTGACCATGGCACCAATGAGCGAGGGAACCATGGAGGCTCCTCATCGCTGGAGACAGAAACGGCCGCCATCTTTTTAGGATCTGGGCTGCAAGCTAATCAGGGCAACTTGGAAGAAGCTGCGAGATGGCGCGGAGTTTCCTTCACCAACGATCAGCGCCAGCACATTCGCCAGATTGACATTGCCGCGACGGTCTCGCTGGCCGTGGGCCTTCCTGTACCATCCGGCAACGTCGGTGTTCTGATCGAGTCGGTGTTGTTGGGCGGACAGTACTCGGATCGGGAGTTGTGTTTCACCTCTGATCTCCGGCCAAGGCTACGGCGTCTCATTCGCGGTCAAATAAGTATTCTACGCCAGCTTTATGTCTCCCTTGGCCGCACTGCGAAGGATATTGACCTGGCCCTGCAGAATGAGGACTGGAATTCAGACTGCTCCACGCACTTTTCCAACAGCACCTCTCTGCTCGATTCTGCCAGGCGTGAACTTTACGGCATTCCAACCCAGGACGATCTCCTTTCATTAAAGTCTTGTGAATGCACACTGCAAGCTCTGAGATTCTTGGCACGCGATGCTTCTGATGCCTTGGCCGCTGAGTCGCGACAATCCAACCTTCCGAATCTTGCCATGGCTTGCTTGACGATCAGTGTTGTTGCACTGGCATCGATTCGTTCCATTTCTAGTGCGCCGCTGCTCTGGAAGGTGATTGCAGCACTCCCAGTTCTTGCCGTGTTGGCCGAGTGTTTCCCGGAGCTCTCCGTTCAGCAAATCGCAGCGTTCTCCTTCCACGCGTCGCTGTGGGTGCCGGCAAGCTTGTTTGCAGCTGCAGTCGTCTTTGAAAGGCTGGCCTTTGTGGTGCCTCCAGCAGACCCATTCCCAGCAGACCAGGGCTGGATTCGCAGTTGTGCGTCACACCTTCTTGCAGCACATGCCCTCAGCCTCTTTTCGAGTTCATTTATCGAGGAAGAGCATCAAACATGGTACTGGCTCGCCGGCATTCTCCTCGTTCTGCTCGGTCGATCCAATTCTAGAATTTCGATCGTCCGGCTAGCCTTTGCGATGGCCCTGCTCAAGATTGGCCGAAGCATCAACCAGACTGGCGTCAAGTGGTTGCAAGTGCCAGACCTAGCAAGCGAGCTGCACAATCCCCAAAATTGGCCTGTGCTTCTCTGCAGTCAGGTTGTCGCAGGATTGCTCCTTGTCACAGTGATGTGGCGACTTTTAAATCTCAGAGGGATTTCGACGAGGCTTCACCATCTGTCACACTGGGTGACGACTGTGGGCATTTTTGGGCTGATCTTGATCCAGGCATTTGCTCCCCAGCACGTGTCCGGGACCATCCACAAGCTCCGGCTGTTGGCTTGCGTCAAGTCAGTTGGACTGGTGTTGGGGAGCCTGCTGCTGCCAGCTCGCGCGCAATCGACGAGCAGTCCCAACAAGTGTGCCATATTGTATGAGATTAGTGCCGAGTTTCTCACGCACATGCTCGTTCTGCACCAACGACCAGCCAACCTGATTGTGATTGCATGCTTTCTCGCGTTGCTCCTCGCTCTCCATCAGGTGAAGGACAGCATGACTCGATGCATTGGACATGTCGTGCTTGGGTATGCGTTCTACTATGCGTGTGGCAATTCGAACGCCATCGGCACATTGGATGTTGCGCGCTCCAGCATTGGCTTTGACACTGACAGCCTGGTGGGACCTGGGCTGGCGTTGTTTGCAAGCACCTTCGGTCCGATGATGATTTCCGTGCTATTGGCTCTGGCGAGTGCCCGCTCGACCGACTCTCGCAGATCTACCATCCACTGCGTGATGGTCTTCCACGCCCTGCACGTCTGCGCGAGTGTGACCTCTGTTCTTCTTCAACGTCACCACCTCTTCATTTGGAGTGTGTTTGCGCCAAAAGTGGTGTATGTGGTGGCGCTTTCTGTGGCCCATCTTGTGCTGGTCGTTGTGCATCTTGTGGTTGATTCATGCCACGATTGAAAGGGCGATTTATCGTTCTAAATCTTGTATTTTACATTTATGTACACGAAACATGCGGTTTTCCCTGCCCCGATGCTCCTTGCTATTACATCTTCTTGACCAACTGAGTGATTTGCTCGAGAAGAATGAATGTCAGCACCGTGTGCGAGCCTAGAGAACCAGTTCGAGACAACAAAACAAAACGCAAGTGAGTGCAAATTCACCAACTCGAAAACAATCAAAACATTCACGCTCAGCAGGATCCTCTTCTGCTCACCAATGCGGGCAAAGAACACGTTGAATCCGCGCCAGGGACTCATGATGCCATCCTTGCGAACGAGCTTGAGGAGACAGTCGACCGAGTTTTTGTACTCGCCAGCCTTCATGTCCTGGATGCGCGTCTTGGCAATGTCGGCGGGGAGAGAGACGGCAGTGGCAAAGAAACCAGCACTCAAGGATGCAGCCATGTGGCAGTAGACGTTATCGGAAAAGTGGCCGGATCGCAGCAGAAGGTCCTTGGAGAACGAGTAGGTGGAGAGCTGGGCCGCGTTCAGGAGCATGGCGCGCGAAACGGTCGGGCCGCATCCGCGCCAGAGGGTCAAGACGCCCTCCTCGCGGACAATGCGCACAAGGGCATGCAAGACATTCTTGTAGTTGCGGCGCTGTGCGACAGGCAGTCGGCCATCGGAGGTCATGCGCACCAGCGCAACCTCGGCCGGCGTGCCAACAACCGCACCGACGGCACCAGCAAACATGCCGGCCCCGACGAGCTGATAGAACGGGACGGCGGACTTGGTGGCGCCCGTTGCGGCAGCATGTTGCTTGGCTCGCTGCTGCAGCTTCTCATTCACGACCGAGTAAACGCCCAGGCGCGACGAGGTGTAAGTCAGCTGGCGGAACAAGGCTGCAGAAAGGCTGTTTGTTCGAGTGGAAGAGGTCAAGGAAGAAAGTGCGTCATGGCAGGTTGTTGTGTGTTTGATGGATTGGTGCGAGGTCCACAGCGAGTGAAAGGAAGGAAGAAGGAGGAAAAAAATCAAACGGAAGACCAAAAGGAAGACCAAAATGAGAACATGAACGCCAATGTCTCGGATCTTCTCAGACACCAAGCTGAATGAACTGCATGGCAGCAAAGCATAGCATTGGCATGGCACGGATGCAAACTGCATGACTCACCCAGAGTACAATGCAAGGACGCCTTCGTTGCGCAAGACGGCCGATGTCACATTGACGAAATTTGGCTTGCCCGGGACGACTGGGTTGATGGCTGGCGGCTTTGCAAACGTCGCAGTTGCAGCCTCAGTGCTCTTTGTGGCGAGCTGCAATCGCGTCTTGATCAAGTCGAGTGGCTGCCAGAATTTAGAATTGTAGAGCAAACGAGGTGTTTTTGGTGAGTTTGGTTTTGCGGTCGTGGTTTTTGTCTCGAGTTTGGTTTTGCGGTCGTGGTTTTTGTCTCGTCTGTCTTCAACTCTCTCAACAGATTCAACGCGAGCAAGTCAAACACGTTTTGAACGCATTTTCAACCAATGCATGAATCAATCAATGAAATTTGAACCAAATTGAACATCAAAAAGCCAAACAAAACAACAACAAAAAAACTAAAAATACTCAAAAACGTGAAGACCACAATTCGCAAAAGAACGTGAAAAGAAACATCACGCCAGGAAATAGAACGAGCGAGAGGGGAAAATCAAAAGGCTCACAACTGAGGGGGGAACACGCGGAATGAAGGGAGCACTTGCATGTGTAAAAGCGGGAAGGAGGCGAGGTGTTGGGGGAGGGGGGAAGGAGAAGGAAATAAAGCGAGGAGGAGGAAATCGCCAAAAGTAGGATTGTCAACATTCGCAAACGAAAAAATACATGCAAAGAGGTCGGGTTTTGTGGTGGAAAGGAAATTTGGATGCGTTGGAAACACAGTGCTCAACGACAGCGCAACCCCCGCCGACTTCATTCAACAGATTCAACAGGAGGAAAGAACGAGCGGAAAAGCCTCACCTGAACGACGCAGGTTGCGAGCATGCCGGCAGCGCCACCAGTGACAAAGCGATCCATTGGTGATTTATAGTGTGTGTATGTGTGCGCGTTGTTGTGATTTGGAGGTGTAGTGATCCCAAAGCGGGTCAACTGGCTTGAAAACCAAACGAAAACCAAACAAAAACTGGACTGAGGTGTTTTGTGGCTGTTGGACTGGACACATTTCAAGCGAAGAGATCAAGGCGTTTGGATGGATGTTACCACATGAATACCATGCACTTTGAACACACACAGTACCATGAATTCCCTCACAAAATGACTCTGAACGCGGCTCCATCTTGATCTCCCGCAAGCACTCCTCCCATCGTTCCTTCACTTCGCTTCCAATACTCGAGTCACCTATGTGAACTTGTTCGCCTTTGCACCTTTTGTCTTTGGTCATTCAACTTGACTTTGGCATTGTTGCATTCTGGCTCAGTCGCCAACTACACAGCTTCCTTCCCATTTTGCTCGTCATCACGCAGCAGTGATCAGCATACAACAAGCCCAACAGTTACATCACAATTAGACTCATCCTTGAAACGCAGCCAAGCTTGATCAATGCCGCCAAGACGGTCGACGCGAGTCAAGGCACAGACCAGCGCACAGGCCGGCGAGGAGACGGCCGCACTGGCAAACCTGCATCTGTATGCCCACGGCCATCACGAGAATGGTGATTATGGCGATGATGATGGTCATGGCGACGACCACGACGACGACGACGACGAGGAGAGCGTCCAGGGCCATGGGCGTGGACGCAAGCGCCGCGCGAATGGTGCCGCCGCAGGAGCCCGACCTGGTCGCCGAGCTCAACAGCCGCGAGCCACTGCTGCTGCTGCTGCTGCTGCATCGCGCAAGAAGTCGTATGTTTGTTCGTCTGCGTTGTTGGAAGGTTGTCCCCGAGCGTGGATTTTGGATTGGAGAAGGGAACAATTTTGGCGGGAAAACACACTGCTGAGACCGCGCTTCTGAGAGTTGACGTTTTTCTGCGTTGTTTTCTTTGTTCTGCTGGTTTTGCTTTGACAAACGGCATCTCAATTGACCATCGAATCGAATCGTGGTAGACGAGTGGACGATGTAAGAGCCTTACTTGTTTCGAATTGCAAGCTTTTGCTTGGATTGCTGCTCACCTCCTGTCTGCATTGGAAATCCAACAGGATGCACCATTCTCGGAAGCTACTTGCACCGCTTGGTTTGAGCATTACATGTGTACGGACCCCGGTTGTGAATGTGTGTGTGCGCGCTCGCACCAAGCGACTTGCTCACTTTGTTTGCGGTTTTGACGTGTGTGTGCTTCTGCAGCGATCGATCCCGATGAATCAGGAAAGATGGGACCCGGAGGAGTTGAACAGTTTTGCGCCGACATGGAGCTGGCCGCAGACTCGGTGAGTTTGGCAGTGCGGATTGACGCTTTTTGGATGTGAATTCTGACAACTTTCTACAAACGTAGCTGGCGGTACTGGTCATTGCTTGGACGCTGGAAGCTGCTTCCATGGGTTACTTTTCGTCGTCCGAGTGGGTGACTGGCATGAAGAGCATTCAGTATGTGTCATGCATTTTTGTGCTTCCACGTCGTTTTTTTTTTTATTCCTTTTCTCGCCTGTTTCTGACATGCGCAATCGTGCAGATGCGACTCGAACGCCAAACTCAAGCGTGCGCTACCGGCACTCGTCGCTGACAGCATGACTCCAGGCCGGTTCCGCGAGTTGTACAAGTTTACGTTTCAGTTTGCTCGAAGCGACGGCCAAAAGAGTCTGCAGACCCCGGTTGCCGCGGCTCTGTTGCACCTTCTGCTGGCCGAGCAGCTGCCTGCCATTGACTCTTTTGTCGAGTTTCTCAATGTAAGATGGAGCAAGGTCAGAGGCGAATAAGAACCTGGAAACAAACCATTGTTCTGATGTTGTCGTCGTGTTAGGAAACCCCGTCATGCAAGGTCATCAACCGGGATCAATGGATGAGCATCTATGACTTTATGAACTCGATGGACCCAGAGCTGACCAATTACGACGAAACTGCAGCGTGTAAGTTTTGTTCGGCTTGCATTTTCGCGTATTTGGTTTCAATCCCCTGACATAGGACTGCTGTCTCTTGCCAAAAAACTAGGGCCTGTGCTACTAGACGAGTTTACAGAGTGGATCAAAGAGCGCCGAGCAGCTGGGTTGCCGCTTTACACGCCACAAAACGGGGCAGGCGGGTATTCTGAGCGGATGAGCGTGGAGTGAACCAGCCTCTTTGTCGTTGTTTGCTTGAATGCAGCTTGAGTTTTTGGCTTTTTTGCAATGAAGAGAGTTAGATTGATGTGTCCTGTGCTTTGCACAGAGCGTCGTTTCGTTTTCAAAGCAAGAAATGATGATCACGGGTTTGTTTTGTTTGCCGCGTCCGCTCGTAGCATCGAGCGAGTTGCGTGTCTTGATCAAACGAGTGCGTGTCTGCAGTCCAACAAAACGACCACTTGCGATTTTTGAAAGTAACTCTGAGCAAATCTCAGTCTTCACTTTTTTTTTTTTTTCGCAATGCAAGCACTGAAGAATAAGCTGAAGAAATACGTGCCACGGCACAACAAGCTTGATGTGGAGAAGCACTACAAGATTGGCAAGGAGCTTGGCTCGTGAGTGACTCTTCGAATTCGCGCGTATGGGTTGTGAGCGGAGAGAGGGAGAGAGGGAGAGAGCGAGAGAGGGGCGATCCGGATGACTTGGGTTTGTCCTTGCGTTCGCGATCGCAGCAAACGGGGAGACTGCGTTGCATCATCAGTGTCTCTGCCTGTCGCTGTGTGCTGCTGTCCATCACGGGTCGATGATGTTCGCTCCATGATCACAAGGCGAAAAGAAACCATCTATCATTCAATTGAGTGGTGTGGGGCGGGAGAGTGCGATTCGCAGCGAGCGCGCGCGCTGAGGGTTCTCGGCAAGCAGGCTGCAATGGAGACATTTATCGATGCAGGTGCCTGGCTGGGCTCGGCGGTCGATGAGAGAGAGAGCGAGAGGGTCGATGGAGGAGCTGGAACAATGACTTGGCTTTCTCGTTTTTGTTTTGCTGCGCTCCTCCACGGCGCTCTCCAAGGCGCTCTGTGATCAAGCACAAGCAATAGAGTTGCGCGTGAATCTGTTGAATGGGGGGGGGAAGGTGGGAAAGTGAGCGAGAGTGGTCGAGATTCAGGAGACGCAATGAGAAAAGCAAAGGAAAAAAAATAATAATAAAAAAATAATAAAAAATAACAATAAAATAAAAATAAATAGTAAAATAATAATAAAAAAAATAATAAAAACGAAATCGCCGACCGAACAAAACAAAACAAAACAGACAACGAGTCTGAATGACAAACACACGAAAACGACAACAATGAGAGAGAAGACATGATAAAGAGAGAAGGAGAAGGATTGAGCGCAGCAGTCAGTCTGCCATCAGCATATCGCTAAACAAAGGGCAAGGCGAGCACAGCACTCCACTCTCAACCCCCCACTCCACCTCCACCTCCACCCTCCACTCTCTATCCCATCGAAGGCTCCGAAACTCGTTCGGGGAAGTAAAAAAAAAGCTCCCCATTCACCAGGCGTGGCTCAATCGCCGTTGCTGCTGTTCCTTCAGATTTTGAGTCATTCTCTCTGGTTTTTTGATCATTTTTTGAGCAACGCACTCGCTTCCTTCGACTCTGCGCACGTGTGTGTGCGAGTGAGTGAGTGAGTGAGTGAGTGAGTGAGTGAGTGAGTGAGTGACCAACAACTTTAATGCACAATTGGGGTTTGAGGCTGGCTTGGGGAGAGAATAGCGTCAATTTGACCCGAGCCAAACCCAGCTAATACGCAATGCACAATGCAGTCCAATGCAATACAATACAATACACAATGCATCGGCAATCATGACTCATCTACTCTGCTCTCTTTTCTACCGACAGGGGCAATTTTGCAGTGGTCAAGGCCGCAGTCAAGCGCGACACAAACCAAAAGGTCGCCATCAAGATGATTGACAAGAAGCTCTGCGAAGGCAAGGAGGACATGATTGAAACCGAGGTCGCCATCCTCCGCCAAGTCCAGCACCCTAATATCGTCGGCATGATCGAGGAGTTTGACACGCCCGAGAAGCTCTACCTTGTGCTCGAATTGTAAGGGCGAGCTGGTTTTTGGTCGTGTTTTTGGTTTGTGCTTGTTTTGTTTGCTCGCTCTCTGATTGTTCGCACCAACACTGTCTCTCACACGCGTTGTTTTCGATGATCTCGCGCTGCAACTGGCGCTCTTTAGGGTCGAGGGCGGCGAGCTCTTCGATCGCATTGTCGACCACGGCTCGTTCACAGAGCAGGATGCCAGTCGCTTGATTCGTCAAATTACCGCTGCCGTCAAGTATCTGCACGAGCGCGATATCGTCCACCGCGACCTCAAGCCGGAGAACCTGCTCTTCCGAACCCCCGACCACGACTCTGACATTATGATTACCGATTTTGGTCTTTCCAAGCTGATCAACGAGAACCTGGCCCTGGAGACTGCCTGCGGCACTCCCAACTATGTTGGTACGGTTGTTTTTTTTTCTGTCCAGCAACCATTACCACAGTCTAGTCGTGGGCTTGTTTGTGTCAACTCACATTGCTTGCATTTTTTTGTTTTTCCTTTTCTTTTTGATTGACTTTTCCTGGCGTGTGCAGCTCCTGAAATTCTTCTGCAGAAGGGCTATGGCAAGCCCGTTGACATCTGGTCGATTGGCGTCATTACCTTCATATTGTATGTGGCTTTTACGAGTTCCCCTGTTTTTAGTTTTTTTTTCTTTTTTTTTTTTCGCTGCAACCCTCACACACATTCCCCTCTCCCTCTTTCATTGTGTAGATTGTGCGGCTACCCGCCGTTCTATGACGAAAGCGACGCCCTGTTGTTCCAAAAGATCATGAAGGGCAAGTTTGCGTACGACCCCTCATACTGGTCGACCATTTCTGACTCTGCCAAGGATGTCATCTCAAGCATGTTGATTGTCGATCCCAACCGACGCCTGACTGCCGATCAGGTACAATTCCCACAACACAGGCTGTGCATGTTGTCGGCGTTTCTTCATTTGTTTGTTTTCTCCAATCGTGCGTGCTTTCTTGTAGGTCCTCGCCCACCCTTGGGTTTCCGGCAAGACTGCTCGCGATGTCAACCTCAGCGACTCGATCAGCCAGAACCTCAAGTCGTTCTCCAGCGGACGCGTCATGTTCCGCAAGGCCATCGCTGCCGTGCAGGCCACCAACCGCATGAAGCGCCTCGCGTTGAGTTCGCCAATGGACAACGCGTCCCACCGATCAGAGCCGACCTCGCCCACTTCTCCTTCGAGCGATGCCAGCACTAGCGACGGCAACTAACGCTCAAGCGGATTTTTTTTTTTTGTTTTCAAAAGCAATGTTTTCACCATTTTGTTATTGTCGTCATTGCAGTTGTCGTTCTCGTTGTTGTTGCTGTTTTTTTTGTTTTGGTTATCGTTGATGGTGTCGCTTTGGCTTGCCGGTCTCCCTGTTTGTTTTTTGGCTTCAAACACAATTTCGTTTCATCAGTTGTTTTCCAATGCCGTAGCAATCATATTGGCGATGCGGGATTGAACACGATTAGCAATGCAACAGCTCCATTATCGGCAACAGGTCCACCTTGCTCTAATCTGAAGAATGCAAGAAAGTTTGGCATTTGAGTCTGTTTTTGGGAAGGTGACAGTCTTTGTTTGTGTTACGACCTTACCCGGAACATAACCCGTATCACTACTAAAGTATGCGAGAATAGAATGCGGAAGTATCGTGTACTAAGAATATAGTGAAGAATGAGGGGAAGCCTAACTAGGCTGAGCCTAGTTCGTAACATCCCCCCGGACTTTAAAAGCCCCGGTGGGATCGAGCTTCCATCCGCAAACATGCAATCATGCAATCATGCAATCATGCAATACAAAAAAAAAAAAAAAAGAAAAAAAAAAAAAGAAAACAAAAACAAAAAGTCCAACGCACTGGCAAGCAAGCGCAGGCACGGGAGAACAAAAAAAAAAAAAAAAAAAAAAAAAAAATGCTGGGGGGAAAGAAACATGCTAAAACCCAACCCCGAACGGGGCGAAAAAAACAAAAACCCCAAGCAACTGAACAGTCAGAAAAAACACCACACGGAAAAGAAAACCTGGTCCGAAGACAGGAAAAACAAAGAATGGGCAAAAAGCGTGGTGAAAAGCTTCAGCGAGCAAAACTTGGGAGCACGAAACGATGCTAAGGGACGCGGGGGCGCCCACGAGTCGGCAAGGAGGGGCGTACTGATGCGTGGTAGTTGTCATCGTCGGTGTCACCTAGTTCGTCACAGTTTGTTAAGCTGTTTTGTTTGCTAAGCTGTTTTGTTTGTTAAGCTGTTTTGTGGAGATGCAAAGCATGACTGATAGACAGCGAGAGTTGTGTGGCAAAGTCAAGAATGCGAGATATCTCGGGTAAGAGGAAGCTCGAGCTGATTGAAAAGAAAGCGCGACGGCGTGTTACTGACGAAATGGAGGGACAGGCTGAATGGGAAGCAGATTGACGATGCGGGAGCGCAAGCGATTGCTGAGGCACTCAAAGTGAACACGACGCTGACGCAGCTCATGTAAGGCCTCTCACTCTTGTCGGTGCATGAGAATGGGTGATTCAGACGAGTGCTCACTGGTGGAGGGGATGGACAGTCTGTGGCAGAATCAGATTGGCGATGTTGGAGGGCAGGCTATCGCTGAAGCACTCAACGTGAACAAGACACTGTCTTGGCTCGAGTATGGCATCTGAGCTGTTGAGTGGGTAATGCAGCAGTATACTGACGACAACGAACGGACAGTCTGTCCCAGAATCAGATTGGCGATGCTGGAGCGCGGGCTATCGCTGACGCACTCAGAGTGAACAAGACACTGTCTTGGCTCAAGTATGGCATCTGAGCTGTTGAGTGGGTAATGCAGCAGTATACTGACGACAACGAACGCACAGTCTGCAACTGAATCAGATTGGCGATGCTGGAGCGCGAGCCATTGCTGAGGCACTCAGAGTGAACACGACGCTGAACAAGCTCTTGTAAGGCAGCTTCTTTTGACTGATGCACGTGAACGGGTGATGCAGCGCAGAACAATAAGAGTACTCACTACTAGAGGGGAGGAACAGTCTGAATGAGAAACAGATTGGCGATGCTGGTGTACAGGCGATTTTTGAGGCTCTCAAAGAGAACACGACGCTGACGCTGCTCTTGTAAGGCATCTCACTCTTGTCGGTGCATGAGATTGGGTGATTCAAACGAGTGCTCACTGATGGAGGGGATGAACAGTCTGGGCAACGCTCAGATTGGCGATGCTGGAGCGCACGCCATCACTGAAGCACTCAGAGTGAACAAGACACTGAAGGAGCTCTAGTAAGGCAGCTTCTTTGGACTGATGCCTGTAAGCGGGCGATGCAGCACAGAGCAATAAGAGTACTCACTCACGGAAGAGATCAACAGTCTGGAAGAGAACCAGCTTGGCGATGCTGGAGCGTACGCAATCGCTGAAGCACTCAAATTGAACAAGACGCTGTTTCGGCTCAAGTCAGTCATTTCGCATCTACTGGTGCTTATGAGCGGGTGATGCAGCACAGAGCAATAAGAGTACTCACTGACGGAAGAGATGGACAGTCTGGATAAAAATCAGATTGGCGATGTTGGAGCAACGGCGATTGCCGAGGCACTCAAAGTGAACAAGAGACTGATTTGGCTCAAGTATGACATCTGTGCTGTTGAATGGATAATCCAGCAGCGTACTGACGACAAAGGACGGATAGTCTGTACAACAATGAGACTGGCGATGTTGGAGCACAGGCGATTGCTGAAGCACTCAAAGTGAACATGACATTGAAGGAGCTCAAGTAAGGCATCTCACATTGACTTTTGCATGGGAGTGAGTTATTCAGTGGAGTGCTCACTGATGGAGGAAATGTGGACAGTCTGGAGAAGAGTCAGATTGGTGACATTGGAGCGCAGGCAATTGCTAAAGCCCTCAAAGTGAACACGACGGTGACTGAGCTCGAGTAAGTCGCTGTGCGCTTTGCTTTGCTGGTCTCGCTCGTTGGGCGAGGGTCAGCCATACCTTGCTCACCCTTTAAGCGATAGGCTACGATTCAATCGCATTGGCAATGCTGGTCTTCATGCGATTGGTGAAATGCGTCAAGTCAACCGTTTTCTGTTTACACCTTTGTTCGTTGTTTGTCCGAACGAGTTGTGCTCTTCCAACCAACAGAGTCGCGCTGCTGAGTGCTCATTCACCTTGATTGTTCGTTGCCCAGCATTGACGATCAGATCAACTCTCTTGCAACCTTGCGTCCACGATTGGCAACTGCTGAAGACCTTCACAACGTGTTTCACTTGCTGACCAGCGAACCGGCGCTTGATGATCAATCGGCAGCTCTGCCCGCACTACCAACCGAGCTTGCCGAGCTCATTATGGACAAAGCGCACTACTGGCAAGGCGTGCAGCATACCAAACGAGAATGGTTTCATGTCGATACCCCCGACCGCGTTCTGAAAGTCACTGTGCCTCAAGGAAATTCAATCCGTGTGAAAGCAATTCATGTGCTTCGTGACTGGCGCAAGCGTCCTGACAACACCGGTGATTGTGTTTTCGATTTGACAGTCCAAGATGAACAAGGCGCTGTTCGATACAAATGCTCAGTGAAACCGACCCTCGTTGATGCGAACCTCGAGCTTGTGACACTCCTGCCTGCCAACCATCCTGTCATCCGACAAATGCGCGCGGGTTGGCAAGTTCAAGTTCGAGCCAGCAACGATGCGCTATTTGAATGGCTTTATGTTGGATATGTCTGACGACAGTTTTTGGAATGTTTGTTGAAAGCCGCTTCCTTGCGTGCATTGAGTGAAAGTTCCTGACAGTGCTCAGGCAAGGTTGATTCTCATAAAAGAAAGAGCCTCGAAAGAAGAGGTTGAAATGCAAACAGCTCGTAGCTTCGGCAACTCCCAACGGGCGCTGAGTTATTATTCACTAGTGGTTGATGATGTTACAACAATGCACCGGCTTGTGCCTGGAAGATTTAAATGTATCTGAGTCGCATTGCAGACGCTCGAACGGCCAACGATTCGACTGCATCTCCAAATTTGTGGTGTGCTGGAAAATCTGATACGACGCAGAAGTCGGCAAAGTCCGTTTGCTGTAAACCTTGTTTATTGTTTGAAAAGTAATGGGCAAGAGAAACCATAAAAATTTAAAGAAAAATAAGGAGGAAAAAAAAAGAAAAAAAAAAAAGTCTCGAAAAAGAAAGATTGGTGAGAAGGAAACAAAAAGAGTGCATAGGTGAAGGGGCACAAACAGGCTTCCACAAGTTATCTCCCTCGTCCTCAGCTCCGAGCCAGCAGAGCGCGAACAAAAAAAAATAAAGGAGCACCAAGCAGAAATTCCCCAAAGTTATCGCCGCACATTGACACTAAACAAAACACTCTCATCCGCATCGTCGTCATCATCATCGTCGTCGCTGGTCTTTTCCAACAGGGAGGACGCAGAGGCACTTCGGGAAGCGGAGCGCTTTTTGCCAAAGGACTTGAGCTGGAGCTGGCTTTGCTTATTTTTCTTGCCCTTGTCGTTCATCCACGCCGTGTCTTCGTCGTCCGAATCACCGCCCTGCTGGTCGACAACGCGACGGCGGAGTTTGGTGCTCGAGTCAGAGTTGACAACAACGGCCTCGTCGTTCTCGTCGTCGTCTTCCGTCTTGAGGGCCGAGAAGCCATTCTTTGTGCGGCGCGCCACCTTGCGACGGATGGCATACGAGCGCGGGCTGTTGGACTCGGATGGGAAGCGCCAGGTGGTGCCACAGGTCCATCGCGTCACCCGCAGAGGCAGATCGATGGCAAAGAAGCAGCCAAACACCAGGAGGGAGACAACGCCAACAAGAACACCGTCCCGCCAAAGAGTGCGCCAAGACATGCGCTCCATCCGCTTGGGTGCAGGGCTGCCAGATTCGTCATCGGTGTCGTCAAAGTCGTCGTCCGTCGCAGGGCCAAGCGCCTCCAGCGCATCCCACGAGTCGCTCTCGCGGTAGTCCACGTCGTCGGCCGCGAATGCAGGGCGCTTGAAGGTGCGAAGCATGAGCGACGACAAGACAACCGAGCTTGATGACAGTGCCATGGCCGCCGAGGCGTACACGGGATGGAGCCAAAAGCCGAGCGGCATAAGCGCACCAGCCGCAATGGGAACACAAAGCATGTTGTACACCAGCGCCCAGCCAAAGTTCAGCCAGATGCGACGCAGGGTGATGCGGGAAAGCGAAAGCGCCACCGACACGTCAGCAATGTTGTTGCGAACCAGCACAATGTCGGCTGCTTCGATGGCAATGTCCGTGCCGTGTCCGATGGCGATACCGACATCTGCTTGAGCAAGCGCGGGAGAGTCGTTGATACCGTCGCCGACCATGGCCACAGAGCGGCCCTGCTGCTGCAAGCGGCGGACGAGCTCCGCCTTGGAGGCTGGCAGCGCCTCCGCCCAGACCTTGGTGATGCCGACGCGTGCCGCAATGTTCTTGGCAGTGCGATGGTTGTCACCCGTGATCATGCACACCTCAACCTTCATTCGACGCAGCGCCTCGATGGCTGCTGGCGCCTCTGGACGAATGCCGTCGTGGACGACGAGAATGCCGACCAGAATCTCGTCAGCAGCGACCAGAACAGCCGTTTTGCCCTGCCGCTCAAAGGCAGCCATGTGATCTTCGGCAGTGGGGGTCACAAAGATGCCGTTCTGAGCCATCCAGGCGCGGTTGCCAACCAGCACAAGATTTGCACTCAAGGTCTTGGCGAACTGCTGCTGATGCTGCTGCTGCTGCTGCGGCTTGACGGCTGAGACGGCGATGGGCCGAGACGGCGTCACGCGACACTTGACTCCGAGTCCAGGAACCATCTCAAACTCGGATGCACTGCCAGACAAGAGCGGAAGGTTGGTCATTTCGCGGGCATGCTTGACAATGGCAACGGCAATGGAATGCTCGCTGTCTGCCTCGGCGAGGCCCGCCAGCTCGAGAAGTTCTCGCTGTGAGCACTGGGACTCTGGGACGAGCATCTCGACGCGAGAAACACTGAGGACGCCGGTGGTGAGGGTGCCCGTCTTGTCGAACACGACCGAGTCGACCTTGGCGGCGAGTTCGAGCGCACTTCCGCCCTTGATCAAGATGCCAAGCGTGGCGCCGACGCCAGTGCCCACCATGACGGCGGTGGGCGTTGCGAGGCCGAGCGCACACGGGCAGGCAATCACCAGAGTGGAGATGGCAAACAGCAGCGCAAAGCCGACATCCGTCATGTCATCCGTGGGCTGTACCGCCTTGCAGAGACACAGGATGAGCCACACAAAGAATGTGACAATGGAGAGGCACACGATAAAGGGCACAAAGCGGCCAGCAAGGCGATCCGCGAGTTGCTGGATTGGCGGCTTGGACATTTGCGCCTGCTCGACGAGACGCGCAATCTTGGACAGCGCAGTATCCTGGCCGACATTGGTGGCACGCATGCGCAACGTGCCGCTCTGGAGCATGGTACCGCCGAAGAGGGTGCTGCCCTCGTTCTTGGTGACTGGAATCGACTCGCCAGTCAGCATGCTTTCGTCGACAAACGCGCGACCGCTTTCGACCGTGCCGTCGACGGGGATGCGCTCGCCTGCGACAATCTTGAGCAAGTCGCCACGCTGGACCAAGTCGGGATGGATGGCCTTTTCCGAGGTGACATGGCCAGACGCGGGGTCGAGCGTCAGCAGCGTGGCCGTGGTGGCCTTGAGCGTCAGTAGCTTTGCGAGGGCGGACGACGTCCGGCCCTTGGCCTTGTTTTCAATGTACCGACCAATGCACACAAAGGTGAGCAGCATGGGCGCGGCTTCAAAGAAGGTGTGTGGCTCGGTCAGCATGGGGGAAGCCATGGAGTCGCTCGAGGCCATGATGCCCGAAAAGATGGCAATCGCCACGACAAACAGCGAGTACAGCAGTGCAAGCGTGGTGCCAAGGACAATGAGCACATCCATGTTGGCGGATTTGTGGAGGAGGGCGCCGAACGCCGAGCGGTAGAAGTGCCGCCCGACCAGCACTTGGAGCGGGAAGGCAAACGTGATCATCAGTGCATTCATCCACGAGAGACCGGGGATTGGTTGCATCATGAGCTTTGCGTTTGTTTCCGGGATGCGTGTCAGAATGATCATGCAGATCATGGCCGGAAGCGAAAAGACCAGGCAAATAAAGATGCGTCGGCGCCAAGTGCGGACTTCCGACTCGTGGCTGAGCATTTCACGGGTGGTTTCGTCCGAAGCCTTTGAGTCTACCAACGAGGCCTCGAATCCGAGGTCTTCAATCGCAGCGATAATGTCGCGCGGGCCCGTCAGGTCTGGGTTGTAATCAAAGCGGCCCTTGTTGGTCGCGAGCGACACTGTGGCGAATGTGACGCCCTTTGGGTTGTCCATCAAGTTGGATTCGATCGTATTGACGCACGACGAGCAAGTCATGCCGACGATGGCGATTTCGACCGACGCCGACGCGTCGAGCACGGGGACATGGCTGGAATGGGGTTTTGTGCTGGTGGAGGATGGGTGTGCACTGGTTGCACCGGCGACCCCTGTACCAGCAGCGGCGTCCTACCCAAACGAAAAAAGAGGTGATTATTTGCCAATACACAATGCAACCAACAAGTGAGTCGGCTCGGGTTACAGGTCGAGAGTCACGCTCGCTCGACAACGAAAGGGGTTTTTTACCGTTGGCGCATTGAATTGGTTGTTGCGCAGGGGCACTGGGCCGCCAATGGCCTCAGCCTCGAATCCCATGTCGTTGATCTTGTCTACTATGTCTGTGTGCTTGACGCGGCTGGGGTCGTACGTGAACGTGCCGCGCGAAGTCGCCAATGCCACGGAAGCGGACGGGATGGCCGTTTCAGCCGTCTTCGAGGTCGCGCCCGCCGCAGCCACTTTTTTTACAACGACGAGTGCAAGACGAGCGAGAGAGAGAGAGAGCGAGGGTCAACGGGAATCAAGTGGCGGGGCAGAAGACAGAGTGAGCAATGGGGAAGGGAAAAAAAAAAAAAAAAAAAAAAAAAAACCGAGCTGAACTTGGACTTACAGCCGAGCTCGAGGACGCCTGACTCGATGGCGTTGACGCAGGACGCGCACGTCATGCCAGTGATGCGCACGTCAATCCGCGCAAGGGACGGCGGCGGCTGAGGCGACAGCGGCTGAGGCGAAGACGGCAGCAGACGAGCCATCGTTCAATGGAAGAAGCAGCAAAAGGAAAAAAACGGAGAAAGAAAAAAAAAGAAAAAAAAAAAAAAAGAAAAAAAGAACAATAGGAAGCAAAGTGTATGGAAACAATGAATGAATGAGCTGCGAATGAATGAATGAATTGGAAATGGAAATGGAAATGGATGAGCGACGAGTGGACGGAATGGATTGTTGATGGAATGGACGGTGATTCGGTCACAAGTGGAAAGTGGAGATGGTATTGTTCGCAATGACAACATTCATTTTGGCTTGCAAACAAACTCAATCCAGACTCCATTCTACTCTACTCTGTGTGATGCGTCGATCGTTCTTCTGGATTTGCTTGGCACAAAAAACCCACGAGCGAGCCCCGAGTTGAGCCGCTCTCAGTGTTCGTTGCCGCCTCCTGCTTTCCGCTCTTCCAAAGCACATCGCATCGCATTGCTTGCCCCTTTGTCCTGCCTTGGTAGTTCGATGCTGGCTTTTTCTCGACGTCTTTTACGCAGAATCACCTTGTTTTTGTTTTTTGTTCTTTTCTGTCTCAGAACTCCTCTTTGTCTGAGAATCTCAGTCGCCCTTTTTCAGTTTCTTTTTTTGCTTTTTGTTTTTTTTTTTTTTCCATCAACAAACAAAAAAGCAATGGCGCGGCGCGGGTCGCGTGGAGGCTGGCGTGGTGGTGCACGCGGCGGTGGCCGTGGAGCAGGACGCGGCGGTGTGGGCGGACGCGGCGGCTGGCGTGGCGGGCGAGGCGGAGCAGGGTACGCGCGTGGCGGCCTTGGGACGGGATTTGGCTCGGCCGCGCGGGCTGGGACGGTCGCTGTCGGGCGCATCCTGGGCGCAGGCAACGGCACGACGGCGGCACTCATCCACCAGCTCATCCCCTTCGACGACGGCGGGGCGATCGCGACCGCAACGGCGGCGGCGGCAGCGCGAGCGGTCCACGGCGGTCTCTCGCTCATCCGGCCGCAGCTGCGATCGCTCAAGCACGTCCTGCCCAAGCGACTCGCGGTTCGGCGGCTGTACAGGTGCCAGTGGCGTGGCTGCAACGCTCTGTGCGCAAACGTCGTCTGGCACTTGCTGCGGGAGCACGGTTTGGCTCATCCAGCAGCTGCTGCTCCACCATCAACCAGCGTGCCGCGGGTGCCGCCTCAAGGAGATCAAGGTGATCCGGAGAATGATGCAGCGGGCAGCGACTCCAATGACGATGACGACGAAACCCGCGCTCACGATGCCGAGCTGCTGCGGCGCGCAGTCTACGTGTGCCAATGGGGCGATTGCGCCGAATCTCACCAGGTATGAATGCATCAATGAATGTATTGCACGAATGGCAGTGTAGTGGTCGTGTGGTTTGGTTGCGCAGAACTGTTTGCGATGTCGAGCTGTATCGTGGAACTCACCTTGGTGCACGGTGCAGCGCTTTGAAAGCAGACTCGAACTCCAAGCGCACTCGCACGGCCATTGCAAGTCCATTCGACCAGTGGAGATTGTGACGCGCGCGGCCAATGTGACGCAGGAGTCGCTGTCCGTCGACAAGGCCGCTGCGGCCCACCCGACGAACGGCGAGAGCAACTCCAGCGAAGCAGTAGCTCCTGCCAATCCTCCCGCTCTGTCAACTGCATCGGCAATGCAGATTGATGCTGCCCCGACTCCAGCAACAGCGTCGGCTGCCAGCTCGGAAATGATGCAGCAGGATCCTGACGCCCGAGTGGTGCTCGTCCGCCCACCTCGCGAAGCAGACGACACTCCGTTCGAAAGCGTAGAGTACACCGATTTGAGTGTTTTGCTCGACGACAGCACGCCCTTGACGGGCGAGGTGGTCTGGGCGTTTTCTCCCTTCAAGCACATTGACCACTGGCCGGCCAAGGTGACACGCGTTGTTGTTGTTGTTTTCTTGTTTTTGAATCCTTCATTACTATTTCGTTGTTCTGACTTTCTCAGTTCCCTTTTTGAATTGCTTTAGATTTTAAACCCACACGAGTACACTGGCTTTGCGCCGCCAGTGACCAGTGCATCCTTCGGCGCTCTGCTCGTCTACGTGTTTGGCATCAACCGGTTTCAATGGCTGACCGAAGATTACATTTTGCCGCTAGAGGTAAGAAGGAAGGGAACCATTCCTGATGAAATGGCGCTTTACACAACACCAATATTTTGTTTGTTTTTTGAAATTTCCACCCCTCTTTCTATTGTCCTGCAGGAGTACTGGCGAACGCTCGTGGCCCCGGCGAATTACTCGTTCCAATTCCGCCTTGCTCTCATGCAGGCGCTGGCCGGGTCGAGACATCCATTTTACTTTGGCCGCATCGTCGGATCGCGCAAGGTGACCACCCCAATCGTCGCGTCTGTGGCGAAAGCCGTTCCAGCAGATCTCAAGGTGTCGCTCCACTCGGCGTCGTCGTCCACGTCGTCCATGCCGGATCCCGACGATGAGCTGCAGATTGACAGCATCACCATTCCTGGCCCCACCTTGGCCAATACTGTGCCGCTGTACGCGCTCAATGCCATCTCCCGAGAGTACCTGGTGACGTGGAAGCATACCCGCTTTGCCTCGTGGGAGCCAGCGCGTCTGCTCTCTTGCAGCTGGATTGTCGACTACGAGGCGGACTTCCCCGAAGAGTTCCGGTCGCGCGAGAGCCTCAAGATTCATCAGATCACCGACCGCGCCACCCTGCCGGAAATTGTAAGCCGTCTGGCGACGGACGACGCGAGTGGCGTGCTCCTCGAAGCGAGCACCATGGCAAGCAATGTGCGTGCCGAGATTGCCGCTGCTATCGCCGCCGCTGCCGCTGCAGAGGCCAGTTCAGAGGCAACCGCGGTCAACGTCAGCAGCCTGGACTCTGGCGCTGGCAGCAAGCGGGACTCGCCCGAGGACGCCAGCAGCAACCGCAACCGTGCCGCTCGGTTGCGGGATGACGACTATTCGATTCGCGCCGACGAGGCTGAGGACGAGGACGAGGAGGAAGAAGTTCACCAAGACGAAGAGGAGGAGGATTCTGACGTCTACGAAGAGGAAGACGACGATGACGACGATTACCGTGGCTCGCGGCGGCCAGCGCGCGACCGTGGCCGAGGTCGTGGCCGTGGGGCTTATCGTCGTGATTTCGAAGGTTACTAGTAGCGTGTTTTTTGTGTTGTATTTTGTCAGGATTACATGTACTGTATCTATCGCAATGAAATCAGTGCGAGAGGTCTGTTTTGGTTTTTTGCCGCCCATATTCTAGCATTCAACGAATTTATCGTCGTGCATGCAGCAATTGAAAATGCCCATTTCACAAATTCCCAAATGCGCTCATCTCAGTCTTTTTGTTCCTTGAATGGCACACAGTAGAGCCAAATCCAAAAGTTGCGTCATCTCACACAGCACTTTAACGCTGCTGCAAACTCCCCTCGCCTTCCGCACTGACACGCGCAAGCACACGGTACGCCGACACCGACGACGACAAGCAGTAGTAGTAGTAGCTGATAGCAACCACCGCATCGTCCCTGTCCGTGTCATTCACGCAGTACTCAGCAACTCCAACGCACGCTCGCCAATTCCCGCCCCGCTGCTCGCCGTCGCCCCTTCTCGCGCCACCGCCACCACCAGCCGGTCCGGATAGATTCTCGCGTTGCCACGCCTTTTTACATCTCCATCCTGCTCCTCTGAACAACCGCGCAACGCCCCCGCTGTTCGAGAGCTACCGTCATTTGCGCACAAACTCAACTCGTTTTTGCCCAAATTGAGCAACCGTTACGCAACATTTGCTGTTTCGGGTTTTGTTTTCCCAGCTTCTGAGCAATTTTTGGGTCTGAAAAATCTTTCTCAGACTCTTTTGTTATTCCTCGAGAACCTGCTTTTTTCCATTTATTTGTTCATAGTCTCTTCGCCCTTCGCTTGCTGTGTCAAGAACGCTTGATTTGGTTCGTTGACGCAACTTTCTCAACATCGACAAAAATGGCCGTTCCCGTCATGCTCGCGCCCCAGAACGCGGCTCGCCCGATGGGCCCCCGCACCCCCGCCGTGCTTGGATCCATGGCTGTTGCACGCACTCCGATCTGCCGCTGCGGCAATGCGCACTTTGTGCCCGTGGTGACCATTGTTGCCCACGACGCGCTCCTTGGCGAGGGCCGTGCCACTCCCTTCTGCTCGATGCGCTGCTTTCGCCGTTTCACGGACACCTCTCCCGCCACCTCTGCGACCTCGAGTGGCCAGCAGTCGCGCGCGACCTCCCCGCCGGCTTCCACCGACTCTTCCGCCGCGGCCTCGCCCACCCGGCCGCGTTTTATAGCGGGCCTTTCCGAGTCTCCGCGTTCCAAACCTGACCAATCCATTTGTTTGCATCTAGCAGGCCATCGAGTTGATGTCATGTTATTTTTTTTTTTTTTGTACATTGTTCTCAGACAAATCCAACCCAATTCAATCCTTTTTTTTCTTTTCTTTTTTTCTTCTTCTTTCTTCAACTCTTCTTCTTCAACTCTTCTTCTTCCTTCAACTCAAACCTTCTTTCAACTGGAATTCGCAAACACACACACACACAAACCAGCGATCGAAGCGAACAAAGCCAACAAAACCCAAACCAAGTAACAAACATCAATGCAAAACCCAAACCAAGTAACAAACATCAATGCAAAATCCATTATTGTTGTATTGACTGATTTTTTTTTTTTTTTTTTTTTTTGTTTCCCAGAATGTCTGGATTGCCTGGGCTGCGACCGAGCCCTGCGACGCCCGCGAGTAGTGCGCCTGGCACGCCAGCGACGCCTCAGGGGTCACTGCGCCCGCCGCTGCCGCCTGGACCCGCGCCGTCCACCCCAGCGCCGCCAGTCCCGCCGAGCGCAACGTCGGCTGTCAGTCACTACAGTTCGCCAGCAGTCAGTGGCAATCCCAACCCGAGCTCGACTGCTGCGCCGGTCGGCCTCACTGCGCCATGGCATCCCAACGCTGCTGCTGTTGCTGCTGCCGGCAGTGCTGCTGTTGGTAGTGCGACGGCAGGCTCGGGCACCGGATCTGCTCCAGCTGCTGCCGCTTCTTCTCCTTCAGCTGCAACCCCGCTCACGGCCGCGGCTGCGCAGTCCATCGCGTTCGAGCCGGCAGTCTCGGTGATCGAGAACGTGCTCAAGGCGACCCTGCAGTGCGCCACGGACAAGCTCCACTCGCTCCTCACGGTGTCGTGCTCGACGCCAGGGCGCGAAATTCCGCTCGCCAAGTCGCTCGTCTGGGGCCATGACGCAGAGTTTGACCATGCGTGCATCTCGCTGGCCAACTTGTCGCAGGCATGCACGACTGCCGTGTTTGGCGCCCTGGTGACGTGGAAGAGCGTCAAGTCGGACGAGGCTGCGCACGCATTTGTTCAATCTGGCCAGCACGAAAGCGGCAATCTGCTGCTCGGACAGCCCCCGGGCCTCGCAAGCCCGGCCTCCCATCCGTCTGGCTCCATGAGTGGCACGCTGCGGGATGCACACGGCTCGGCTCTGTCGTCAGCCGGCTCTGCTGCCTCGATCGGCACGCTCACGCCAGGCAGCAGCTCCTCTACGCTGCGACCGCTGTCGCCCGTGTCATCCGCCTCAACCATGGGCCCACAGACGTCGCTTGGAGTCGCAACCGTTGGCAATCTGGCAGGCAATGGCTCTGCTTCGCAACCCACGACGGGCGGGCTGCCTTCATCGCCCAGCCCAGCTGGGCACTCAAACTCGCTGCCACCCGGCGGGCTTGCCCACCACCGAGCCGTGAAATCCGCATCGGATGTGAATGCCAAGATTGCTGCACTTGGCGCGGCTCACGTGACCCCTGGCAGCTCGTTTTCTCTGCCTGCCAACGCGAGCGGCAGTTCGGCCAGTGCAGCTGGCGCAGGTCCTGGATTGACCATTTCCACCGCTGGCACAGTTCATCACGGGCGCTCGCTTCTTCCTGTTATCAAGGAGCGTGCCACGTTGATTTCCGAGCTCATTTTCTGCCGCATCGTGTCCGCCCTGCTCCACACGGTCAAGGTCAACATTCCGCAGCAGATTGTCACCGACGTTGAAAATGCGTCCTTGCTCCATTTCAAGTCTGTCGAGCAGCTCTACCCTCAAGCTCCGGAACGCAACCGCGAAGAGCTCGTCGAGTTTTATGCCGAGGTTCTTGGCGCTCTGTCGCTTTCGAGGTGAGTTTTGAGAGTAGTGTTTTGTATTTTGTTGAAATGAGGGTTGGAAGGATTGCATCTTTGACACATGCCTCCAACTGAACTTGTGTTATTCTTGGGTTGTTTGTATTTCCAGATTCGATTGTATTCGCCGGCGTTTCCTGGTGGAGCTGCATCAAAACCACCCACCGCACATTCTGATTAACATCACGCGGGGCATGCGATTCGTTCGCCTTCCGGTAAGTGCTCTCGGGATCTATGTGTTTCGTTGCGCGGCTCCACTGTGTCCCATCTCGGGTCACCAATTGAGATGTTCACATCACGGTATTTTCGTTTCTCTCTATTTTTTTTTCCCACAGATCTACCCTATCGATGCTCTGGAAGAGTCCTTCACTTTTATGAACGAATGCGGCAAGTTCTTGCTGGACATCAAGAAGCAGCCAGAACTCAAGAACGCCTTTGCCGACATGTTTGTCGAGCTGCTTTTGCCCGTTGCTGCTGTACGTCGTGTTTTGTAGCTGTTCTCGCTGAGGTTCAGCTTGCTCATCTCAGCTATCGTTTTTTGCAGGTCGCCAAGTCCGAATTGAATGTTCCAGGCGTTCGCAACCTCGTTGATTTGCTGTACAAGGACGTTTATGACATGGCCAAGAAGCACAAGCACACTGTGGTAAAGGCTTTCATGTGCTACTTATTTCGCTCGGTTGAAATGCTCTTTTGTTTTCTCAACTTTTGTGTTCTCCGCACCTCGATCTGCAGTCATTCTTCCCCTTGACTGCAGCGTTGCTGTGCCTCAGCCAAAAAAAGTTTTTCATGGACAACTGGCATCACTTCTTGGCACACTGCATTACCAACGTGAAGGTAAGAGTTGCTCGTTGCAGATGATGGCTTTTGTTTTTTCCCCTGCCTTGAGTATTGAGAAACGCAACCTGGCCCGATTCCAACCACTCACGCCATTCTCATCGACCACCACAGAGCAAGGAGTTTGCCGTCATCAAGGTCTCCATGGACGCCATCTACCACCTCATCTGGGTGTACGTCGTTCGCTTCAAGTGCGAGAGCAACTCGGCGACCAAATCGCGCATTTCAAGCATCACCGACGTCCTGTTCAGCAAGGGCAGCCGCACACTCACCCCGCGCGAGGCGCCGCTCGAGGTCTTTGTCAACATTATCCGGTTTATCGCGCGTGAAAAGCTGGATTTGGCCGTGGAAGACGTCATCTATGAGCTGCTGTCTGTCAAGAAACCCGCAAATGTCACGCTGGCGCCCGAGCGCATGATGGTTGGCTTCCGCGCCTTCTTTGCCATCTGCGAAGGTCTGGTGGCCAAATCTGCCGAGCCTTCCTTCCCACGCTCGTCGCCGCGCACCTTGATGGGGACGCTTTCGTCCGTGCTCGGATCGTCACTTGTTGCGCTGCTGGCGTCCCCGACTGGCGCCGCAGCGTCGACGCTGGCCCGATCTCCAATGTTCCGGCGACTGAGTGACTCGGACATGCTTGGTCGAGGTTTGGGCGGAAGCGGCGGCAGTCCCAACCAGGGTGGCGGCAATCCTGCCGTTGCCCCCATTCCCTACATTGACGATGCGACGGCCAAGGAGGCTGGTGTTGGCAGCTACTTTGCGACCATCCTCAATCTGTTTGGCGCAACGCTGCGCGCGCTGGATGCTCACATCGGCCGAGGCATGGTCATGACAAACGTCCTCCTCCAGAGCAAGCCGCTCGGGGAAGTCTTCAACGCCGAGCGCCGGCCCCTGCTCATGCTCTACAAGACATGCCTGGCATTCGTCCCGCGCTTTTTGCCCGGCGGCATGACCATCCAGGAGCTGATCGACCTGCTCGCGCGCACAACGATTCACCTGGACAATGAGCTTCGCAGCGCCGCCTATGCTGCGCTCAAAAAGCTCATCTCTGACTTTCCCCATCTGCGCGACGACGTGGTCAAGGGCTTTGTCCACTTTATCGTGACGGAGATTCCCGACTCTTGTCCGCTCATCTTTGAGGGCGCGTTGCGCATGCTGATCCAGATTCTCTGCCATTGGAACTCGACCATTGGCAACATCAGCTCGATGGATTCCATCATGCTCAAGCGCAGCAATAGCACCAGCACGGGAAGCGGTGGACCAAGCGGGGCCGCTTCCATCTTTGTTTCTGCTCGCAAAAACTCGCGCGACGCGTTCGACCGTCGAACGGGCTCGGGCTCTGGTCTTTCCGCCCTCGTGTCGCAGTCCGGCATGCTCAACTCGTCACCGGGCCCCTCTTCCGGGCAATCCTCGCCAGTGACCCTTTCGAGCAGCAGCGGCAGCAACAACAGCCCCGCTGCAGGCAGCCCGACCGGAACGTGGTCGCCAAACCCAAACAATCTGAGCGGTCGCTCGCGCCGGTCGATTTCGTCGGACGGCAATGCAGTGTCGTCGGCCCGAAAGGCGACCGCCGACATGAACAAGTCACGCCACAAGATCTCGCTGGACGTTGTGCATCGCGTTGAGGGTTTGGCGCTGATGGCGCTTTGCAGCACCCGCCCCATCAACCGCAAGCTGGCGTTGTATGCCTTCAAGGAGATTCGCACGTTGGCTGGGACTAGCTCTGGCAGCACCATTTCAGAAAGCACGACGTCGTCTGGATCTGGTCAGCAGCAGCCCCAGACATCGCAACAGTCGCAACCCCAGTCATCGCAACAGCCGCAACCGCAGCAACAGCAGCAGCAACAGCAACAGCAGCAACAGCAGCAACAGCAACAACAACAGCAACAACAACAGCAGCAACAGCAACAACAACAGCAACAACAGTCGCAGTTGCCAATCGACACTCGCGTAATGGACATTCTCGACAAACATGGTCCCGAGATTGTCAAGCGCTTTTTCGCAGCAATGGGCTCGGCCACCACTCCGTTCGCCGTCCTTCTCGTCATGTTTGGCATTACGAGCGTGCAGCCAGGATCCATGAATCCGGGCCATGTCATTCCGTCAGACTTGTCGCTCTTTGCGCTGGCCGACAGGCGCATCAGTGCCGAGAACGATGCTTGGATGCTTTGCGTTGGCCAGTTGCTCAAAATCATTCGCGTGCGCTGCCAACGGGCGGTCGACTATGCTTGGCCGGAAGTGTGCGACCGATTCATCCAACTCCATCAGCAGATTGACACTTCGTTTTCCATTGCAACCGAGTCCCAGAGTGCCAGTTCCGTGCCGGCGTCCGGCGCTGCTCCATCGCCAAAGGCCACCTCTCGCCTTTCAATCCTGAAGAGCAACGACAATGTGCCAAAGCCGAAACGCGGGTTTGACGAAGATGTCGGGCACTGGCGCAACTATCTGGTCTTTGCCTGCGCTGTCGGGCGCTCGGATGACGAGCGTGGGCTGAACAGCCCTTACTCCCAAGCCCTGTTGTCGCCGAGCAAGGACAGTGACACGATTGGGTCGGCCGCAACGACCGCAGCCTACGCCATGCTCTCTGGCGCACCGCTCCCTGCTGCTCCAGGCGTTCCCTCGGCCACAAGCACCTCCTCATCATCCTCTTCCTCCTCCTCCTCCTCCTCCAGCACTATGTCAGCCGGCTCGCATGCGCACGCTGCCCATCACGCCTCTGCGACCGGAACAGCCAAGTCATCAGCTGCCAGCTCGGGCAACCTGGCGTCGCTCCGCGACTCGCTCATGGTGGGACCTGCGAGTGCTGGATTTGCTGGTTCTGGGATGGATTCCGCTGGACGTCGACGCGCAAAGTTTTCGGCACGCGGCATGCTTCGGATTTCACTTGCAGGCGTCCGCACCGAGTCGCGAGATGTCCGTGACGCCTTTGCGCTTGCAGTCGCCCACATCAACTCGGAAGGGTTCCGGGCCCTCGTCGACGAAGTCCAGCCGTACCTTCAGGATGCGTATCGCGCGACGGACGAGTCCAACATCAAAAAGCGCCGTCGCCGCCATGTCATGCGCGTCATGATTGCTCGCATCTTTGGTCTGGCGTCCTTCTCGCTTGCTGATGCCAAGGGCCTGGTGGATGAGCCGCACATTGCGGATTTGCTGCTGACCTACATCAAGTCGACCAAAATTTATCTTCACGACGACTACTACTTGAGCAAGACGGGCACGCTGGTGAGCTCGACTGGGTCTGGCGGACCCATGACTGGCACAGCCTCGCCCGGCTCGGCGCTTTTCCCGTCCTCGGCGGGCCACTCGAACAATTCGGTCGAGCTGGCTGCGGCGGCTGCCGCTCTGGCTGCCGGGCTGCCCGAAGACCTGGACGAACTGCGCCGACACTTTGCCCTGCTCATCCGACACGCTCTCGAGTCCTCGATGGGCATGGCGAGCATGTACTCGTCAAACTCTACCATCTCGGCGCGCGGTGGCACCACCACGCCAGCATCCACGCCAGCGGCAGCATCGTCAAACTCCTCCTCCTCCTCCTCTTCGCAGCGTCCATTCCTGCTCATTCGGGAGCAACGTGTCGAGTTTTTCTTCTTGTTCTGCAAGTGGTGCGGCTACGAGCGTGCCGAACGACATCGCTTCCGGTTGACGGCCAACCTTGCGCATGGCCTGACCCCAGAAACCTACCACTGCCTGCTGATGGCCGTGAGTTCGTTGTGCCACGGCCCGCTGTTCCAGTCCGCGGTGCTGCAGGTGCACAACTTTTTGTTCGACTGGGTGGACTCGATGTTGATGAGTGAGCGCGAAACGCTCACTTCGCTCGGTCGTCAAGCCATCCAATTCTGCTTGCACGATAATATGGCCGAGCCGCTGCTGCTGGATTTGGTGATGGAGCGCTGCTACATTAGTCCGCCGAATGTGGCGCTGGGCTACTTCCGCGCGATCGCAGACGTGATTGCCTCCGCCCCGCAGCATCCCTGCCCGCGTGCCAAGATGCTGGTTCTCGCCTTGTGCAAGCTGGCAGCCGAGCATGTTGGATTTCGTGAGCACGCGCTGCTCCTGCTCGAGCACATTGCGATTCGCCAACTGCAGCCGAGCGGCGCGATCGCTCGAGCGCCCAGTGGCTCCATACCGCCAGTCGTTCCGACCTCTGCCGCTAGCAACAGCAATGGCACAACCTCTGGAGCGTTCTCATTCACGCAATGGTTGCTGCCGCTCGACCGCCAGAGCATTGCAAGCTCGCTTCCCAGCATCCACTCCCTGTTTCAGCAATCCGTGTCTCAATTGGTTGCGCAGCGTCACCCGGATCTCGCGATTTACATTTTCTGTGAGATAGTCCAACGTGCGGAAATCGCCTCGCTTGTGGACAGGCATGCCCTCTTCCGCATGCTTCTTCCGTGGCTTGACTCGTTTGCGTTCGACTTGCGCGATCCAAGTGAAAGCATTTGTGCAGTGCTCAACAACCTGCTGTATCTGACCGCGCGTCACAAGGAAGCGCATTCTGGCGAGCTGGAGCTGCTGTGGATGCGCCTGGCGGGAATCAACCACGATAACTTCCGTCTCGTGCTGGCATTCCTGCTCCAACTGGGTACCTCAAACTGCTGCAAGGAGTTTGTGCTGTGCGCCAAGACCATCGCGTCGTATCTCGTGCGCATTTCTTTCGAGCGTGCCAGCACTGAGCTCTTGAGCGAAATGCAGCTGGTGGAACGCGAGGGCTCGACCGTGATTGCGTTTGACATTCCAAAAGCCCGTGTCTTTTTCGAGCCTGCAGAGGTTTTGTCGGCCAATCATCAACGTCTTCCCCTCAGCCCCGTCGCCGCGACCTCCAAGCCCCAGCAAATCCCGTCCTCGTCAGCATCGGCTTCTTCAACCGATCTTCCGGCACTGCCTGCCTTCCTGTTTGTTGCTCCGCTCGAGCGCGTGTTTGTGCGACCGCCAGACCACCTGCACAAGCCGCTGACCCGAGGAGATTTTGCCCTGATCTTGATCAGCGAAGTTGTCACGCCAGCGCGCAGCGACGAGATTCTGAATCAAGTGGCCTTTTTGCTGCATCGCGGCGTGCTCTGTGCCGATCACCTCAACCCGTTCGTGCACGACCACGCCAAAAAGCTCCTGGTTAATATCGTCCACTTGCTGAACAAGGTTCGCATGCAGCTGGATGGCAACTTGTCCTCGACAAGCAGCAACACTTCCACTGCCAGCGACTCGAGCAGCTCCTCCAGCACCTTTTCCAATCTGGGGCAATCTTCCGCGCTGTCCGTCTCCACCACGTCGCTCAACTCGCTGGCCGGCCTGCCTCGCGACCCGGCAACATCCAACGTTGACCCCATCGCGCTCATTTCGCTGCGCGAAGGCCGCCCGTTGTGGGCGCACGAAGATCTCTCGCCCAAGACCGTCTACATGAGAAGCACCCCACAGCTCGAGACGTTTGTCCGCTCGCTGACTCCGCTCATGAGCAACCCAGAATGGCTGCGCGACCGGTGGGCTCAAGAGGCGCACAAGGTCGCCGTGCAGTGCACCTCGCGTCACTTTGCCTGCCGCAGCTTGCAGATTTGCCGATTCTTGCCAAACAAATCGCTGTCCGAGCAGATTGTTGCAGACACGCTGGCGCGTCTTGCGGAATCGATTGCCGATGCGCACGACGACGCGCAAGGCTATTCGATGGAAATTCTTCTCTTCCTCGAGTCGTTGGTTGAGGCGTCGGAGGGCAAGCACGTGCTCAAGTTCCCACAGCTGTTCTGGTCGGCCTGCGCCATCCTGGAGTCGAGCTTTGAGCACGAGTTCTTGCTCGCCATCCGCTTCCTGACGCGGATTGTCTCCATGCCGACCTTCGAGACTGCTGCGTGCCACGAGGTGCTGGAGCGTCTTGCGGCGCAGCTTGAGTGGAAGTCCGGCACCAGCCTTTCCGCTCGTGCCGGCGATGAAGATTCGGGATCCGTCATCTTCCCTGGCGTTGTGGCGCTCGCCGTGAAAGGCTTGGTTTCGCCCATCGCCGTCACCCCTTCCATTGACTTTTTGGCGCGCTTTGTGCTGTGGGCGTCCGAGCCGCTGTTCAACTCGCCGACTCAGAATGGCCTCGTCCTGCTCCTTGTCGCCCTGACAGTCCACCTCTTGGTGGAATTCAACGATCCTGACGACGGCCGACTGGCGATCGGAAACGCGCTGGTGACCTCCTGCAGCCGCAACAAGCTCACCAACTTGTACAAGCTGTACTCGCTCTATGTGCATCGCAACTATGGCAAGGGAGAGGACTCGTGGGCCGACGAAGTGGGCAAATATCTTGCCGAGGCATTCTTCCCGACCCATGCAGTTGTTGCGTTGTCGCTGGTGGCTGAGCTTGTCAGCCGAGGTCCCATCATGTACCAGCGTCCTGCCCTGAAGGTGCTCCACGGCCTTGTTCGCGCGCTGGATACCACCGCCGCCACCCTCAAGGTTCCCCTTGGGCAGCTGCTTGCCATTGTGGCCCAATTCCTGCGAGGCGATCTTTGGGTTGAAGCGCTGCGTGTGACAGACGCTGTTGTGTCGGTCGGCAACATCCAGCAAAACGCGCAGCTCCCCAAGTCGCTGCTCAACATTGCTGCTGCTGCCAAACCGGTCGACGGCGGAAATGCCGGTCCCCGAGCTGCAGCAGCTCACCAGACAACCGTCCGAGGAGCTCCCCAGCATCAGCCGCAGGGAAATCACCAACATCGCCAGTCCACCGCCACGGGCGTGGCGGCCGCCGCGGCAGCATCTGCTGCATCTGCTGTCGCCTCGTCCCAAACGGCCGGTGCCAACAACAACACGCGCGGGAGCTTTGCCGCTGGAAGCTCGTCCAATGCACACCTGCTGCCTCCGTCTGCCGAGCGCCCTCGCTCACGCCTCTCTGTCAGTGCTGGTAGTGGCAACTTGGGCGGCGGCTCGTCCCCCGTGGCGCACTCGCCGTCCATGACGACTGCGGGCCACTCGTTCCTGTACATGCCCTCCGATGTGCCTGCGTTTGCTGCGCTCGCACTTGGCGGTGCGGTGAATCCGCTTGCGGGGTCTGGGTTGTCCCCGTGGGCGCTGCCGCTCCAGAGCATGGACCGCACTCGTGACCGCCTGCGTGCTGTGGGCCGAACGTGTGGACGCGAGCTTCCCGCCGTCTCTTCTGCGCCCATTTTCCGCGATCGCGACACGCTTTCTGCGAGCGCTTCGGCAGCCAGTGACGTGACGGCCGAAGACGACGAGGGCTTTGAGACAACAGGCTATTCGAGCGATCACAGCGACGATGCGCTCCTGGACGACAGCCGCTTCTTTGACGACTTTAACTTTTTGGACCAGGCCATGCAGGATGTGCTGGACAATGACAAGGCCACCGCGGCGGCCACCCTCGGCGGGTCTGGCTTGTCGTCGCAGCCCGCAACGCCGACGCCAGCAGGACTCTCTTTGACTGCCTCCGCGCTCACCGCAGCAGCAGCAGCAGCCGCGACTTCTGCCGCCGCTAGTGGCCTCGTTCCCGCCCAGGGACCGCAGAGCGTTTCCAGCAGTACCAGTTCGCTGATCATGCCTGCTACGGAGAGCGACGTCGAATCGCAAGCGTCCGCTGCGCACCAGTCTCGTTCGCGCCCCATTAGCACAGTTGATGACTCCTCTCAGCACGAGATGGATGCCGACGACAACGGCCTTGACGCCACGCGCACCCCTCGTGCCATGAAGCGACAATCCTCGGCCAGTGTTTTCAGCACACCGATCGCTGCTGCATCGCGGACAGTCTCGCGCGGCAGCAACCGTAATTCGCAACAGTTCGACGATGTGACGAAAGGGGGCAGCAGCCCACCGGCCACCGACGCCAAAGCCATCAAGATGGGCACCGTCCGCGCGGATGGCCAATCATCCCCACTTCCGCCTGTCTCGCCCACACAGTCCATTCCTCGGAGCCGGTCGGCCTTTTCGCTGTCTGGGTTTTTTGCTCGCGGAAAGGACGGCCACGACGGCAACAATGGTGCGAAGGGGTCGGAGCATCTCCCCTCGAGTGGACGCGAAACGCCAGTTGCCTCCACATCGTCTGCAAGCAATCTCGCTCTGCCGACCTCGACCACCTCCATTCCCAGCGCCAGCGGTTCGACTGGCTCGGAATCGCCCGACATGACGCCTTCCGGCTCGCCGGTCGCGCGGCAACACCCGCCCGTGTTGCATCCGGCAGATGCGGCCGAGGAACGAAGCTTCCGCTCACGGTCGTCGTCCTCCTCGTCGTCAGTGTCAACGGCCACCACGAACACCCATGCAGGCTCTGTCGTCCCGCAAAGCATTGTCAGCGTGACAGTCGACGACGTTGGCTCGACGGTCGCGGCGAGCGGCTCGCCGCCCATCATTATACCAACCGCCTCGCTGGCCAACTCGATTGCAAATGGGTCTGCCAGCTACGAAAGCACGCCATTCCTGCGCCAGCAGCCCCGCTCAGCCACAGTCTTGGAGATTCTTCCCGTTGCCGACCGTTCGGCTGAAAACGAGTGGGTCGAGCACATTGCCCGCTTGACGGATGATGTCACGGGAGCCGTCGTCGTGGCAACCTTCTCGCGCTTCAACCGGCTCTTGGAAATTATGCGCAAGGATCAGAACAACCTTGCTTGTCGATTCAGTCGCGTCTTTGGCAATCGCTACCCGTCTCTGAGCGCCGCCTTCCGCTCGGACATTTCCCAGCTCAACCGCATGGAGATTCCGTTTGTTTTCGTGTCCGAGGAGACGGTATGGTGGATGTCATGTTTTGTTTTTGTGTTTGTTCGTTATGGGATATGTCGGGATTCACTTTTTTTGTTGTTGTTGCTGTTGCCTGCTTTTCGCTCCTCCTCGCAGATTCGAAGCGAAGCATTGATGGAACGCATCAAATCAATCGCCATCGAAATTGATCAACTGGTCGAGTTCTTCCGAGAGCGACGAAATGTGGTCACTATGGATGTGGATGATTTGATCGGAGACACGGATGCTCGTGCCCAGGTACAGTGACCTTTTGTCGAATGGTGTTTGTTCATGCAGGAGTGGCTGCTCATCTCTGGAGAATCATGCCTGTTTGCTGAACTGTCACACAGGACACCAAAGTGACTCGTCTCAAAATTGTCAAGGCCTGGATCGGCATTGTCAAGCTGCATTTGCAGTTGATCTTGATTGTGTCGACCTATGCCAAGATGCTTGAACTGATGCTCTCGCCGCGCAAGCACCCTGATGTAAGTTGGAGGAGGGTTTTTATTCTAGTTTTTCAATGTCACTGCTGCGTTTCGATTCTGATTGATTTGTTTGTTGCTCTTGTTTATTTGCTGCCACTGGGCATGGCTGTTGCGTGTGGTCAGAACGAAACAATCATTCGCAGTGTCGAAGCTCTTCGGATGGACATTGCAGAAGTCATTGGGAGCGTGGACGATGAGTCGCAGATTGACACCTCCAAGTACCGCTCTGGCAGTCTGCACGATCGAGACGAGGCGGCGCTGTTGGTTCGGGACAACCTTGCACACCAGCTGAGCGCGCAGGCCGTCACACTGGTGCGTGCCTTCCGTCGCGTGTGGCCGAACGATGTGTTTGGCGGCAAGTACGATGTCGACGACCTGCATGCGCCGCTCGCGTTGGGCATTCTGGACATTCTCGGAGATCGTCCAGCCAAGGGCGTCTTTGTGGTCGTTCCTCGCGACCATGTCGTGGCCGACACTTGTCGTCGGTTTATGGAGCAAACCGTTCACTTGCTCAACTTTTTGCAGCAGCAAAAGCATTCTCTTACCTTTTGAATCGTTTTTTTTTTGGTCGTGGATAGTTTTTTTTTAATTTGTGTACGTGTGTGTGTGTGTGTGTGTTTGTGTGTGTGTACATGTTGCTGTCGAATGTGTGCTGTGTTGTGAATGAACCATTGTGCACATCCGAACTGTTGCAACCCGAGTCTTTGCATGGAAACTCGAACGCCGATAGTCAATCTGACATGCATCTTTCACTCTTGCTTTGTTCATTTGGAGACCAAACGACAAACCTCAGTCATCCTTTTGGTCTGTGTTCGGGTGTGCTGATATGCGGCAACAACGATGAGCCTTCACGATTCGATGCTGCCGGCGAGCATTCTGGCTGCTCTCCAGCTGGAGCTCATCCGCCAGCGCCAGAGCGATGTCGCCCAGTGGCACATTTACAAACAGACACGCACAGACCACAACAATCGAGCTGCTGCTGCTGCTGCTGATGCTGATGATGCACCGCCGAAAATCTTTGCCAGCATGGTCGACCGCCCGTGGCTGAAACCTCACCCGCTGCTCCGCCCGGGGGTTGCCGCCCTCGCCATGCAAAAGCGCGCTGCGGCCATCCGCGATCGATCGGGCAGCGCGGGCCCGACTGCGACTGCGCGCGTGCGGTCGTTCGAGGAGGTCGCGTCCATCGCTGCTCAGACCGAGTATTTGGCGCCAAATCTTGTCTCAGATTCTTTCCCGCCAAATCCAGCGTCAGAGTCCTCTCTGGGCGTTGCTGCTGATGAGCCGTCGATCGCAACGCCACCGCTCTACACGTTGTGCCTTGTTCACATTGCGCTGCGAATTGAGATGCCGTGCATCCGCGAGGCAATCCGTGCACAGCTACCAGAAGTGACAGCCATGGACTTGCTGAGCGCGGGGCAAATTATTGCTGCCCAGCGAACGACGCAACGCGCGCAGCATCCATCGCAAAGAGCAAAGACATTCTACAGGCTGGCTCCGACAAAATCCGCTTCTGAATCGCGCTCAATGGTGCAGCTGTTCGCCAGCATTTACCCGAGCAGCGTCACGTCGCTTCGAGCTCGCATTGCGCACCCCAGCGAGCTCAAAATGTTCAAGTGGATGATCAGTCTGGACCTGACTGACTGCAAGCTTGGAGATGAGTCCATGATGGTGCTTGGTCGCGACTTTGCAAGGTCAGCAGACTGCAAACAAACTCCTTGTGCGAACAGTGCAGATGGCTGTTTGTTGTGCTTACCAACTGGACTCTGTTGCAGACTCGAAACGCTTGCTCTTCCTGGCAACCAGCTCACAGACGGTGGGGTGGCCTTGCTGGTACGAAGCACGCGTTTGCAACAAGGTCGCAAAAGTGGCATTGAAGGCCTAGATGCCCTGCGATGGCTGGATTTGTCGCGAAACAGCATCACGCCGGCTGCGTGCCAGCACTTGCTCGTGCTTTCCAGTTTGGAGCGCGTTGGCTTGAGCGACACAAAGTGCACAAATGCGACTCTGCCACCCATGCCGGGTTTACTCCAGGCCGACGCCCGCTCGATGCATGTGATTGCCGGAGACGGGATCTTTCCACTCTGTATTCTCAATAGCGGATGGGCGATATCCGAAGTTCCAGAGCGTGCAAGCCCCGTCGAAGGAGCGACGCTGAGCCGGCCCGCCATCTCGCTTGAGCTGGTTTTATCGCGAAAGCCCGCATCCACCGCACCAGCCGCGCCCACGTCCAAGCTAGTATCGTCGTCAAGTACACTGCGTCAACGTGCCACGACGACCCCTTCAGCTGTCAGTGCAACCGACTTGCTGGCTTCGTTTGCTGCGACTGGCGGCTCAAAGAGGACACCCGACGCACCAGACCCTGATTGCAACGTTTCGCGTCCGTCGCGGGTGAATCCATTTGCACAGATCAAGCCATCTCAGCGTTGATTCTGTGCTCTTTGACTCTTGACCAGCTGTGCCGCGAGCTCTTTAAGAGGCGATCTGTTCTTGCTCACTGATGGAGGCTCAGAGTTGATCAGCTTGGCGATGCAGGTGCGCAGGCAACTTGCTGAAGCACTCAGAGTGCATACGTTGCTGCACGCTTTGCCCAGTTTGATTGTCCCTGCTGTTGAGCTTTTTTGATTTTTGGTGCAAGCGAAAGCGGGATGTTTCCGCGCCGTTGTTTTCAGAAACGAGTGGCGCTACAGGTTGAATGATTGTAATACAGTACATCCCTTCACACTTTCTCTGAGACGCTCACTCTTGTTTTCTCAGACTTGATCCACCACTTTTTTTTTTCGTTTCTTCCAACAATGCGTGCCTCGCTTCTGTTTGCGCTCTTCTTTGCCCTGCTCGCGTGCTTTGCCATGCTTGCCTCGTCTGCCGTTGTGGACCAGTGCACCGACGTGACCACCCAGTCGACCTGCAGCCAGGACAAGGAGAGCGACGGTCTCGCCTGCGTCTGGTGCATTGCCGCCGCCGTCCCTTCCTTCTGCGCGTGAGTTTGCCGCGCGTGTGTCTATCGATGTGTCTATGTTGAGGCTGGGGAGTAGAGTGGGGTGGGGGGGGGGAGCAGCTGTGGTTCGTCACATGCTGCTCATGACCATGGCTTTCGTCGTGAGCTGGTGCACAAGGGGACGGGGGGGGAAGTCGGATGTGCAGTTGCAAACGGGAGGCAGTTGGAATCTATGATTGTGTGGATTGGAAGTCTCGGAGGGAGGGGGAAGCAGAGAGAGAGAGAGAGGGAGGGAGAGAGAATGGCCATGGTATTGTATTGAGGCTTCTATTGAGAGAGAGAGAGAGAGAGAGAGAGAGAGAGAGAGAGAGAGAGAGAGAATGGCCATTGTATTGTATTGAGGCTTCGTTGCTTGTTGCTTGTTTTGTTGTGAATGTTGCCCGCATTTCGCAGTCGCTCAGCTTTTGTTCTGGTTGCCAAATGTCTTCAGTTGCTTTGTTGCTTGTTGCTTGTTTTGTTGTGAATGTTGCCGCTCAGCTTTTGTTCTGCGTTTGTTCTGCTGTGTTTGTTACTTGTCACTTTGCAGTAACACTGCGCAGGCTGCCAAGCTTCCCCCGACTGTCTTCAACTGCTCGACCTCGTTCGACTTCTAAAAAAAGAGTCACGATGTCTACTCTCGACTCTGTACCCTCAGGTCGAGTCGAGTCGAGTCGTTCCTTCAGTGGCCGTTTTCTGTCCACTGCTGTTCGGCTTTCCCTCTGCTTTTGTTCTGCGATTTTGGGGTGGTTTGTTTTGTTCGCTCCTTAATACAGTATCACTTTGTATGACCCCCCCCCCCCAATACGCACTGTAGTAGTAGCACGTGTAAATCCAATTCACCCCCTTCCTTTGTAGAAAACCCCGACCAGGCTTACTTACCCCCACCTAACCCCCTTTTGTCGCTGTTCCCTAACCCCATTCAACCCCAACCCCTCATCATCATCCGTCTTTTTGTGTGCTTCACTCTCGAGCATCTGGCATCGCAGCAGTCTTACAAATTTTCCACCTTCATCCTATCAAATGATGGACGCTGCAGCACAGCCAACGCAGCCACTGTACTCTGCTGCATCCACTGCATCATCCACTGCATCATCCACTGCATCATCCACTGCTACTGCTACTGCTGCTGATGCTGATGGGTCGTCGTCGTCGTCGCTGTCCAGGCGCAACCAGATTCTGCACCAGCCGTAAGCAGACGCAAACTCCGACAGCAGACTTTCCTCCGACAAGCAGTTCCGCTTCCCTCTCTCTCTCTCCCTCTCTCTCTCTCTCTCTCTATGTGCCTCTATGTTCCACGACACTATCACTCCACTATAACACTCACTGCTGCATGCTGAACTGATCTGATACTGCGGCGGAACGGTCGCTCCACACTTCGCTCTCTGCTCGTTCTATCACCCTGCACTGTTCTCCCCTTTTGATCACAGGTACAATGCAAAGCCAGTGCCAAAGTCGTTCATCCTCGGCCTCTTTGTCTGGTGGATGTTCTTCATCAACGCAACGTCGCTCGCCGTGCACTCTGCTGTAAGGCGTCAAACCCCAGATTGCAGATTGCAGACTAAAATCTGAGAATCTGAGAAAAGAAAAACCCTCGGTGCATGTCAACATGTCTCAATTGTGTTTCCCTGTCTTGGCAGTTCCCGCAAGTGCCGTGGTGGATGGTCACTGGCGGCTGGTACATGACCAACATTCTCGCCGTCATTACCCACTGGATTGGACACGTTCGCCTCGAAGGAAAGTACCTCGGATGGTGGTACAGGTAACTAACCGTGTATATTGACAAAGAGCGCCTTTTGAATTGAGATGCATGTCCCGGGGAATGGAGGACGGATTACTGATCCTGCAAATCTCGTTCTTCTTCTTGCTTCTTGCTGCAGAGCTCACATCGGACACCACATCAACGACTACCCGCCGACCAAGTTCATCAGCGAGACGTACGAAAACGCAAAGGAAGACAACTCGCAGGCGTACATCGGCGCCATCATTCTGTCGCCTCTGATTCTCTTGCAATTCACCGACGACCGCTCCCTCGCCACCGTCCTGACTGCCATTCTGACGGGCATGATTGTGAGGTTTTTTTGTTTGTTTTTTGGAAGCTGCGCGTCGTGATTGTTGGCGTTGGCAGTGTGCTGACTTGTTCGTTTCGTAAATTTTTCGGCTCGCCCCCGCTGCCCTGCCATCCCCCATGCTGCACCGCCCTGCCACTCACAGGAACTCAAACTTGCCGATATCATGCATATGGGATTCCACCAGCGCGACTTTTGGATGGAGGGCCGCACGTTTGGCATTTTCGAAAAGCTGCGCGACATGCACTACTACCACCACAAGGGCACCATGAAGCACAACTATGCTGTTGCCGACTTTTGGCTCGACTTTTTGTTTGTCGGCATTGAGTTTAACTGGGACGCGCCTGCCTCGCACGACACGCATCTCGAGCACTCTGCCGCGCTGGCTGCCTCTGCCAGCAAGCTGAAAGCTTCTTAGCTGTTGGCTGTCTTACTTTGTTGTTACGTTTTGTTGAATATATATGCACTTGTTATGACTTGCCGCAGCATTGTACAAGCAAGTCCCTTTTGTTAAGATATTATTTTGTGACGCAGCGAATGCACAGTGACAGCCTAGTCCCATCGCGACGCCTTCTTGTTCTTTTCGTTCGGTGCAGTTTCTGGCAGATATTCCGAAATGCGAGGATATCCAGCTTGAACGCTGTTTGAACACATATTGAAGTAAATGTCAGCCAAAGCGGAAATTCAATGTCAATCCTATTGTTCCCTCTAAATTCAATCCCCCCCCCCTACCCTCCCAAACCCAATACTCATCATACAACTCTACAAACAATCGATGCCAAGATTTTTTCCAATGCAAAATCAGCACCTCGAGTTGGGCCCGAGCTGTCCTTCCGACTGCCACCAGACAAAGCCGAGGCTCAGCGTCAGGGCACCCAGTCCGAACGCCATCACGTATTTGTTGGGTCGCAGGAAGAGCTCTGGATTGAGCACCCGGAAGAGCGTCGTCGAGGTCACTGGCGGCCGCTTTGGTGGCTCCTTGTCGCTCATGGTGAAGTTTTAGTGAGGAAAAAGAGTATGAAACAAAGGCTCGATTAGAACGAAAACAATACAAAGGTAGACTGAGGGCATTGACATTTTCCTACAAGAAGGCAAAAGCTGAATTCATTTTACTTTTGACGGAATTACAAAGAAGTTGATACTAACAAGAACTGAGTTGGATGACTCAAAAAGACAAGTCGGCACTACAAGTACAACGAGTTGTCGGCTGGGCCGAGATAGCCAGTCGCTATCAAAATAACATCCACGATCGTCCAGACGCCCAATCCGCCAAAGGTGAACAGCTTGCACAGACCCCAGCCCGTGTAGCCGAGATAGAAGAGATCGCCGCCAAATCCACCGACGGTGATGCTGGAGTTGTCGAGCAAAAAAACAGCAATGTGAGCAAGACATTCAGCAAAACCGAACAACCCCAATTTCGTTTCGTTTCGTCCTTCTGGTCTGCAAACAACACTGACCTTAACAAAAGCGCTGTCGACCATCGTATGCCAGCTGTCCATTCGCATGGTACATTCTTTTTGAAGCGGCGATTGCCTGGGGAGCAAGAGAAAAGCCCCACAACAACAACAAGGCCGGATGAGCAAAACGTTCGGGCCACAACAATGCCCCAGATGCTGCGACACGCCAGTTTGAAGTACAAGAGCAACGTACCGATGCACAGTACATCGTCCATCATTGTGCAGACAGCTTCGTAGGTCGCATCGACTATTTGCGCGTCGCAGTCCGTGTTTTCGCTGCAAGCGTAGTCAGCTTCGGGCGACTGGTAGCAGTACTGGCAAGTGAGGTTTCTCGAGAATATCCGGTCACCCTATGATTGCGTGTGTGTATGGGGCATGCACGGTGAGACAACCACCAACAGACTCGTCGCTTTACCGCCAACCTTACAGCGCAATGGATTGTCTCTGGCACAGAGCAGTTCGCCGTCGTCGCCAGTCCGTATGAACACGACTCGTTAAATGTGCAATTGAGACAAACGGCCTCGTAGTCTGAGCAAGCTCTCGAACTTGAATTCACACAAATCTGAGCAACCAAGCGGGCAAATTTCGTTCGCGGTTTGTCATCCCAGCCCAAGAGTGAGCTCACGCAATGCACTTCACTGCAACTCAATACTATCATGACGCATGATCGCTTGGGGGGGGGGGATGGTGCCAAACCTGGTATCGCTGGAAGGTCAAATCGTAGCGAGACGGCGACGGCGACGAGGACGACGCGGCCTCGGCGGTGCTTGCCTGCCAAGCAATGACAGATGCTAGTACAGCGAATAGAAGCGCAGCAAGCATCGGTCTTGGCGGCGGTCGGAAGCGAGCTGTGGTTGTCGTTGGCAGATTGGTGAATGACACGGACTGGCGCTGCAAGTCGCTGAACATCGAGCGGCTTCGACGGCTGGACATTGCCACTGAATAGAGCTACACGAATGATGATAATGTTGGATGTTGTTACGAGCAAACCCTGGCACCTCAGGTCCCACAGCCGGTTATGGATGGGTTATGATGGGATTCTCGTATTTAATACAAAATAACAAGAGTGGGTTAGACCCAAGGGGTCTTAACCGTAACAGATGTGCTTGAATTTGGGGTGGTGGGGATAGTTGGAACCCTTCGTAGCGGCGATCGTAAAAGCCGGAAACAAATTTCTGAGACTGAGCGAGCAATAAGATGCAAGTTTGGGGGGCTTCATATGCAAAGGGAATAAAGCTTAATAAATCTGATGAATAAAGTCAATCTCAGAGTTGGATGGAAAGAACAAACAAAAACCGATAGAGTAACGAATGGATTTGTACTTTTAACTCGAATGCGCATAATCGTGTGTGTGTCTCTCTCGCGTGCATTTACAACTCATGCTTGACGGTATCTTATTCCGCTTTGCTGGCTTTCTGAATCACCGCCTGTATCCGGGAGGAAAACCTGGTCGAAAGCGGTTTTTGCTGAGAATTTTTGAGCCTAGTCTGGTTTTTGTTCCAACAATCAGTTGCTAAACGTCAACAGTTGCCGAAACTGAAATGGATGGTGTGCTAGACCGCTCCTCTGCCAATTTCGTAGAGCTAGGGCTGGTCGATGCTGGTGGTGACGAGGATGAAGGAGCCTCTGCAGTTTCACGCTCGCGTCGAGCGGCACGCACGGCAGCCTGCCTGGCAAGCTCGGCGTCCAGACGTGCCTTGATTGGTGGTATGATGCGCTTAATCCACGGTGCCAGATGGTCCTCGATCATATTCACGATTCCGACGTGCGTACCGCCCTCGATTTCCTCAGCAACCTGCATGTAAATGCAATACTGAGATTCACACAAACCAAAAGAACAATCACCCCGACTCGCAGCAAAGAAACTCACCTTGCTCTGCGATGGAGAGTAATCAGCAGCAGCAAGAACCTCCTTCGACGGAAACAGCTCGTCCTCGGAACCCGCCCACAGCGCAAAGGGAACCGAGATGGCTGAAAACGCCGCTTTGGCATCCTTGATCAGCACTGCCGCCATCATATTCACCTGCGCACGTTGAAAAATTCAGTGAAAATGTTCAGCATTATTGAACATTCGACCAACCAAACAGCTCGCCAGTGAACGTTTTACAGAAATGAGCGTGGGAACGCAAAGTCCGGCAATTTCCTTTCGTGCGACATGGTTGGTCAGATCAAGCGCAATCCAGTGCCCGGCGAGTCGACCGCCCGACATTGAGTTTAGCTTTCTTTGGAAGTGATCCTTCTTGGTCATGTTGCGCTTGTGGCTGCGCATCAGCTCGTGCAGGAATGGACTGATCAGAAAGATGGCATCTGCAGGCAGGCTTGACTTCCACGAATTGTAGTTTAGTAGCTTGCCAGCCCCGTTGCTGTGACCTCCGACAACAAGCGGAAGCGCAGGATAGTTCCACCGCAGGTATCGGATCATGGTGCGCATGTCACGCCAGAGCGCTTCTTTCGACGGAGCATCTCCGCTCGGATCGAGACTAAAGAGCGAGAAATTGCCATCGTGGCACGGCAAGTCAGCAAGGAAGAACTTCAAGGCAAAAATGCAGGGAAAAACAGCAGCTCGACTTACGCTGGACCATGGCCTCGCTCGTACTGCACAATGACGTGGAAGGGATTGTTTTTCGCAAGTCGCGAGGCAAGATCCAAGCACCAGGCACTACCAAAGCCAAATGTCGCGATAAACAGCACAATTGCGACCGGTTCGGCCGAGGCTTTGAAAAGTAGGTATGCGAGCTTTGCGCCGTCTCGTGCTTCCAAGAAACTGGTCGAGTCTGCCTGCTCAACACTGACCATTTTGGCAACTTGAGTTTCAAAGTCGGTAAAGTTTAAAAACTATTTGAGGGGGGGGGGTGGAACAGGAAACAGTGAGCAGAGTAAAGAACAACAGAAAACACATTGTGCTGCGACCACCAGTGTCTTTTGCACCTCGAAGACACAACCACAACAAGAAAATAATCATGGCATCCTCACCTTGCCGACTCGCTGATGTGCAGGCATCCCGGAAGGAAAGTCGCGATGCTCTTCAGGATCAAAGTCCTCATTGATGTCGTCGGGAGTTGCAGCAACGGCGCGAGGGGCGCTTGGGTGCTCAAACATGCGCTCCTCTGTCACAAGAACGAGCAAAAAGAGCATGAGCAAACTGCTCAGACAAACGACAAAGGGCAACAACGTTGGGAAAAAAATTCTTCTTACGCATTTCGATCAATTTCACATATGGGATGACTTGCGCATCGTCTCGCTTCATCAGGCTGTAGAAAAGAGATTGCTTCCAGGGATCAGAGCGCACAAATAGCACGTCGGCCGTTTGCCGATGCTTTGGGGCGAGGCGCGCCTGCTCGTTGGACGAAGACCGCAACTTGGCAAACCTCTTGCGGCAGTACGAGCAAAGAGGCGGGATTGGCGCACAAGTGGCAATGAATCGCATCCTCAGCCGAGCCAGCACGCGGCCACCTCCTTCGACAATCTGGCCACTCAAAAACACAAGTGAGCGAAACAACGACACGAGAACAACAACACCACAAACAACAACCCCCCCCCCAAATCTTCTCGACTCGAAACAACTTACATAGAACTGCTGTGACACTGTCAGACGACCGTCGTGCCGATACTGCTTAAAGTTTTTCTTGGAGAGTAGCAGAGGGGACGAGGCATGGACGGCAACCAGCTCGCCGGCATCGTCGACTTCAAGCTCGGTGATGCTCTCTTCATCGCCGAGCTCGGAGGAAAAGTCAGTTTGCTGGTTTGTCGCAACAACTTCGTTGGATTCAACCAGAGAAAGCTTGCGGGATGGCGGGGAAGAAGGAGGGCCCAAGGAGCGCGTAGACTTGGATGCTTTTCCTCCTCCCAGACGCTGGCCAATCGTCGATATCCGCTGCTTGACGACGCTAAACACACTCCCTCTGGACTTGGACGAGGCTGAATCGCTGTTCGGGCTCGTAGGCTCTTCACTGTCATCGTCGGCAATGTCCGATTCGGACGCTTCACACACGAGGCCCATGATGGCTTTGCTGAGGCTGCATTGCTGGTCCTGGGCAGTGTCATGCATCCGGACCAGATTCATGCGCTGGTCGTTGACATTCGGGGAGGAGGGAGAGGAAGGCGACAAGTCATCCGAGGAACTGACGGATGATTTCGCATCGGCGTGTGAGTTGAATGTAAAGCTCTGCTCTGCATCTGATGTGCGCCGTGGTGACACTTCGGATGAACCAGCCGTCAGAGGAAGGTGGGAGGATGAGCTACTGCTTTTGCTGTGCTGGGAAGAGGCCGCCGACAGCGCGGACGTTGGCGTTAACATTAACGAGGTGCTTCCCAGCTTGTCAAGCCCCTGCGACGTCAGTGAAGCGTGCGGCTGCGACGGGCGGCTTGCTTGTCCTGGCATCTTGGTTTCATGCAGGCTGCAATCGGCGACGATTGGGAACTTCCACTTGAACATGGTTTCGAATGAGCCATTGTTACTTTCGCTTGGTTTGAAGTTTCCCAGGTGGATGGCGTGCATGTCCATGTCACCCTGATCATCCAAAGCAAGTCAGTTGAGCATTGGAGTGTACTACACTTGCACCCGTTTTCATTTCAGAAAAGTACCTTGGCGAGGTGTGTTTTACTTGTGGCAGTTCGCGGAATAAACCACACATTGTCCAGCGGCTCCTTTGCGCTGAATGCAAGCTTGACGCCGACAATACCGCCGTCCTGTTTATATGTTCAATGAGTGAATCGTGACGATCGAGTTTGCGAGTTTGTGAATGGCAACACACGCGAGATTTGCGACCCAGACAGATGCGCACCTTGAGCAGGACTTCGTAGCCCTGGCATCCGCATCGGTCTGCCGGCAGACGGAAGCCTGCATCTTGGCGGAAGTGCAGCGGGATGGTCTCCTGCGGCTCGAGCAGCAGCTCGTGCAATGCGAACACGCTCTCGTCGGCAAAGCACTGCAACAAAGCACACGGTCAGCCGCAACGCCACCAAAAGCGCGCAGAAATCAAGGCCATGCACACAAGGTCAGCAAGCCTTGCAAAAATCGTGCGAGCGAACAAGGAGCAAGGGTGGAGCATGGGGAGTGGATGAGTGGATGAGTAGTTGCCCCACCCACCACCACCGACGTTGCGCTTCTCTCTCTCTCTCTCTCTCTCGCTCTCCTTTTGTGTCGCTGTCTTCGTCGTCCCTTTTTAACCCGTCGATCGAGTCGAACTTTGCTTTCATTTCTGATGCAAAACTTCCATTTTGTCAAAGCAAACAATGGCAGCGAAATGCGAAAACATAAAAGGCGCGGCGGTTTATTTTCCGTTGCCAGATCCAAAAAGTTTCCCCAATTTTCAGATCCGAAAACGGAGATTTGTTTTTTTCGTTGTTGTTTCACAGACAAACACAACCAAAAGATTCGTGATTGCGAATCATAAAACAATCATTCATTCCAAACCTTGAACTGCTCGGACATGGAAAAGGAAGACTGGAAACCGATAAACGAAAAGAAAAAAGAAAAAAAATGAAGATAATGCAGAACAAAAGCGAAAGGCCGCGAGTTCTCAAATTGCACATGAATCATGAACAACTCAATCACAAAAATGCAGTCCTGTATATCAGAGTGTAACACTCGGGTATGAGGGAGGCAATAGCGACATGACAAAATCCAAAAGCAGCAAGAAACGCAAGAAAACGAAATGGGTGATTGAGTTGACGATGCGTGAACTGAACCCATCAGTGCAGTTAACTTTGCAGCGGCGTGTACTGAGAGCCGTCTTGACGGGATCGCTTGAGCATGAAGGCGCGGAGAGCGCAAAGAGTAACAATTACAACCACCAAGGTCAGGGCAACGGATGTGGCAGCGACAATGATGTAGGACTCAAGAGTACAAGTGCAGGGAGCAGGCGGCGAAGGCTGGGGTGCAGCGGTTTCGGACGCGACTGCCGAAGAAGTCACGGATGGAGTGGCGGACGAAGATCCGGGAGGCCCGTACGAGCAAGTGGTGCCAGGGCAGAAGCACGCATGCGTGAAGACCATCCGATAAGTTGCAAGGCACTCGATATCTACCAACAAAGCCAGTAAGTTTCAGCTGGAGCCTGCCAAGCAACCACCAGAAGAGTGGCCAATA